TCAAAGTCGTCCAGGTTGAGTCGTTCCAGATATGCCTCTAGTGAGCCCAGGACGACCTTCTTGCGCCCTTCGACCCATTCCGATTCATCTCTGCTGAGTCCAACTGCCGGTCGGATCCATTGTAAACTTGTTGGGCAGGAGACAGGATCTGGCGCATAACCTTGGGGGTGTTCCAGGGCAGAGGCAAGAGTGGCAGCTGCTGCTGAGATTAGAAGCGGTAGCATTGCAACGATGTTCCCGAGACTGATAGAGAATTTAGAATGCTGCTAAAGTTGGACTTTCAGACTCGAATGTACAGACCATTATATACACATAGATATGTGCGTTCAACATCCTGGATACCATATTCAGATCGAGGTGTTGTTGCCTGTATAGCATGTAGCATTCAGTGCCATCCATTCAACCTCGCTGTGATCGGTCCCCCGCAAGGCCTTCCTAAACAAGTATGCAGTACTCCGTAGCAGTGCGTCATATTCAGCCCTGGAGAGTAGTATGGATGGCAGTAACGTCCCAGCGCAGCTGAAGCCTTTAAACAGGGAAGCAAAAAGAACTATCTGCTGCGCATATTGCGGGCAACTTCACCAGCCACGGGCTTCCGGAGTCTGCGATTCGTTGTCTCGTATCCACAGTGAAGGCGCCACGATCAACTAAATCCACTTGGGCTGAGCAGATCTGCATAGCTAGTGGTCTAACCGCCTCGATCAATAAATAGGAATTGAGGCAGTCCACAGCCTTACCCATGGTAACGGCAAACCATACTCCTTCGGGTACCAACAAGAGCTTCGATCGACATGTCATATAATATTGTCAAAGCACAAGTATCAACAAGACGTTCCATTGGTCTGGAACTGCGCCTCCAGTGCATTATATACTTATCCGCCGTCAATCGGAAGGATCATGAGTTGGCACGGACCTGTCAGAAGCTTGGAAGGTGGAGCGTCACGGATGGCTGCGGGACTCACAATCCTGCTGCCTACAGGGCACCAACAAGCATCATTGCTGTAGGGTTAGACTTTGGGCATGGCATCATCCTCGAGTCCAAGAAGGGTATCTCTTGCGACTGTTTCTGTATCGATGCCCTAGGAGCACAGCCTCATTTGCGACCGTGCAGAAGGATAATGTGACTTGCTCGTCGAAAACAAGGAAGAACTGCGAAAGTGGGATCAATCCCAAACAACATCATTACTATCATTGTTCATGCTTTTGTCATACTAAATATATCATACAAACACCCTCGACATCTCAAGCATCTAGCAAATTCTTTCCCCGCAGTCTCTCGCCATACTTGATGAAGATCAAGGGCATCAACGAGAACACCAAAACAATCAGCGCCAGAAGTGTTCCGCCCCAGTTATATCCAAGGTGCTTGAACAGTGGTGGTCCTGCAAGGGGCAGGAATGCGGCGCAGGCATTTCTGGGAACCAGCATTGCGCTGGTAGCACTCGCGGCGTAGATGCCGAAGAGGTCCACGACGTAAGTTTGCAAAGTGATGGTGGTAGACACCAGCCCAAACCCAATGATGCCCGTGCCAATAATTGGCGCAATCCATTGGACATGATACTGCGCAGTCCAGCCAAAAAGAAAAAGGCCACCTGACATGATGAAGCATGCGATCAAGACAGGAGGCAGGCGCTGCTCTGGCTTGGAAGTGCCGGACCGTGCCCGGGCTGTGCGCACATAGCGGTCTAGCAGGAAGCTGCACAAGAAGGCCCCGAGAATGAGCCCAAGGCACAGTCCTAGGAAGGCTAGACCGGATGCTCCTTCGGAGAAGCCGTACACATCCTGGAACAGTGTTGCGATGGTTGTCATCACCAGGTAGGTGTAACCATAGACCACGCTGAGATACAGGGTAACCAGTATTAACATGGGAGACCGGATGAGCAGACGGAGTGGCCGGAGGATAGTCTTAAAAAATACGTGGCTGGCTGTCTTTTCTGTATCTTCCGGACTTTCAGTGCCACCTTCGAGACCCTGCTGTTTGGCTTTGCGTTTCTGGAGAGTGACGCTGTATGTTTCACGGTACACGACAAGAATGAGCAGGGACAGAGTCCCAGTCGCAATAGTCGGTAACCAGAATGCCCATCGCCATCCGGCCTTTTCACCTAGATAGGAACCGATGATAGGACCTACGACTGGTCCTAATGCACCGGTCAAGGACATAATGGACATGGCACGTCCGCGATTTTCCTCGGGGAAAAGATCGCTAACAATGCCAGGACCGATGGCTGAAGCTGCGGTCGCCGCACCACTCAAAAACCGGAAGGCAATCAGCATCTGGATACTAGTGCTGGCAGCAGTTCCAGCCAAAAAGGCGACAAAGAAGAGATTGGCAATATTCAGAGGCCATTGTCGGCCATACAGCTCAGAAAGCGGTCCCCATAGCAATGGCGCTATGATTTCTCCGAGTTCCCAGATGGAAACAATGAGGGTACGGTAGAGGGCATTGTCGGAATGGAAATGAGACAGAATGGACGGGGATACGGGGGCTGCTATGATGGTGGACAACTGACTTTCCCGGGCGCAACTGTCAGACACCTTGACATTGAGTTTATTGATGGGGGTTTAAGCTTACACCATGGTTGATAATCCCGCGACAAGGACGACGGTGATCCACTTGTACGTGGTGGAGCGGGTTTGGGGGTCAAAAGGATCATAATCGGCCGAGTCCACGGGGCTCGTCGACTGGACGGTGACCTCGGTTTCTTTGCAATGGCCATCTTCCTCATCCATTTTGGACTGGTGTAGTAACCACCAATGAGAAGGTAGGGAGAATTATTCTCAAAACTTAATGGAATGGGAAGGAAGACTGAAGATGAAAGGGAGGAGCCGATGTGCTGTTAAAAAAAAAAAGGAACGGGATGAAAGGAATGGAGGGGAAGATCGGACGAGCAAAGGGTTTGCGCTCAGACCGAGGCTGATCAGGCTTGATGCTCCTTTGACAGTAAGCAGATAAGCAGATAAAGTACTTTGTCCACTCAGACCAGGCTAATGGACTAACAGAAAACAGAAGGTGGTACTGTTTGGCCCCCAGTGGGCTTGCAGGGGGGCTTGCAGATTTACTGGCCACTAAACGTTGCTACTTTCTTAATTGCATTGAAGCTAAATAAGCTAATTTAGGTGCTGACTAGGGTTTTCTGCGCTAAAAGTCCCTTTTCCCCTCCTCTCGGCTGCCCTTCTTGGCTAGTTTCTCCCCCAGCCGAACCAAATCAGCCTCGCCCTTGTCTATTCCGAAAAAGGATCGGCATAATGCCCGTGTTCCTCGAAATACTTGCTCATCGTCGGGTAGTGCTCACTATCCTCAGGACAGAAAGCGTAGCGCTCAATGCTATGGACGATCGGCTTGTAGTCGGTCAGTCGCTTGTAGCAAGCATTGCGTTCCGGTGCCTTCGACCAGGCGACCAGCTTATCAAAGTCCTTGCATTGCATTAATTGGCCTTCTCCACCACCATTCAGCAGCTGAAGAGATGGCATGGGGGTATCATCGGCCTTGCACATCAGATCCTGTCGCAGGGAATCGAGGCAGTGTTCGATATGAGGAGCGGGGATCGAGCTCTCTTGTCCGGACCAGAGTTCATGGTAAGAGTGGCGCATAAGTTTCTAGTAGAGAAAAGTAGAATTTCAGCGTCTATCCCGAGTTTGAAATGTTGCGACGGTGACACTCACGAGACAGTGGAGTTGATGGAACACCTTGACGAAGTAGATCCTTCGGTTCGAATCCCAAGGGAAAGCCCAAGAGTCCGACAGACCCTTGCTCTGAGCCCATTCCCAGGTGGGAGCAATAACCATGGGGTCCATGCTCAGGTTCTCCCACATCTCATCCGCATGTGTCTTGTTCTCGCTAGTATACTCGGAGTGGTGGGAGTAAGGCAGGTGAGTATCCCATGCGAGACCGGCTGGTCATACGAAGCAATGTTAGAGATGAAACTTCAAGTTGAGGCTTGTGAGATAAGTACGTACTGTAAGGAGACCGCTGCTTAGCCATGGCCGCATCAGGATCCAAGTCCTGAATGGGGACATTGTGACCCTTCTGGAACACGAACCATCCCACGTTCAGTGAGAGCGAAAACAACAGTCCCAAGAGCAGCAAAGCGTTCGTCCAGCTAGGGAATCTGGAGACTCTGGGCTGAGGTGCGACTCTCTCCGAGTCCTCAGCCAGAAGCCCCTGGTCACTGTCGTCGTCACGGTTGACTTTCTCGTAGGAATACATTGTGAGAGGGGGGAATGAGCATGGAGGGGTTTGACAGCCGGAGGGGCGTCGGGGGTCAACGCAATGCTCAGATTTTAAACACCGAGCCCTTGTCACATTTGTCACATTTCTGATGGAACGTCGGCTCCGGAACACATCATGCGATGCCGGCAATGGGGCTGTCGGCGATGTGGGTTCACATTGCATGAAAAGAGCTCAAGCTAATGCAAGGCTGGTCAGCACGGCACACCGGTTGATAGTAGCGTCGCAAACAGGTAATCCTTCGCTATCTGAGGCTCCACTATGTGACGGCCTGCTTCTATCCCACCGGATCAATTGTCTTCGGACCTTGCCGGTCCTCCGCCGCTGGTTCCTATGTAATCCCCTCAAATCCCCCCTCGCTCCTCGTTCATTCAGCAGCAAACCCTCAAGTCTTCCAGTCTCACACTTCTAGTCCTCCTACCACAAAAGGTATGCTCACCTCATCTGGGGCGACACCAATTTGCAGTGTTCTTCGGGTTAACATAGCTCTGTGACAGACTCCTGCCTTCCTCCGAGACATTCTTATCTCAAAACATCCACATCTCACAAAATGCGTGTCGCTACTCTCGTCCTCGTCGCCTTCTCGGCTGTGGCTCTCGCCCTCCCTACCACCAACAACGTCGAGCGTGCCGCTGCTGACGCCAACGTCCGTCAGATGGACGAGCTGACCGTTGCCGCCATCAGCAAGTAAACGGTTAAGCGGGATACTACAAAGAATATATGATACAATGGAAAGATTTATGTATTTAGTTGTGAAATTCAAGTTGATTAACTAAGTATCTTTTGTCGATTCCGGTCTCATTAATTCTATATCACTGTCCGAACACTTGGTCGCATTGTATGCCGACTGCACCGTAGGATGTTTGAGCTCAGTCGGCTTGAACATACCACTGGGGAACGACTCCAGGAATTCTCGAAGGTATGGCACACAGGCAGATAAGATAGCCACCGTTTGAAGCACTTGACTGCAAATCGCCCATTGCCAGACATTGGTCGGTAGAGGGGAGTCGGCGTGGAGCTTGAAATTACGGACGTAGCACAGCTGCACAATACTGCCAGCGATATCCCTAGAAAGAGGTCAGAAGTGTCGAAATCTCGGTAAAGTATTGCGACATACAGGATTCGGATACCGAAGCAGCTTATTACCACCAAACGCCTTTTCAGACTCAGTTGCAGGCGGAAGATGATGAAGGATGGGACTGCGATAATCATAATCTCGACCAAGACGTTCATGACCCCAAATGCTATCCAAATTCCGGACTTGAAGACATTAGCAATGTTTTCGTAGCCGGGCTAACACATCGTATTCTACTTACCACGTCAAGACACTTCCCGCCGACGATGTTCCAAACTTCGGGTGGATGGCATTGTAGGCATACCACGATGGCCATCACCACAACCCATATCAAAAGTAGACCTGTCGCTGCCAGGACAGACTTCGACTGGCCTGTCGACGAGAGCAGACTGTAGAAGAGAACCATGACAGACAGCTTTCCCAGTCCCAGCGTCAAAACATACAGCACCTCCATGGAATAGAGGGCCTTCTGCATGACGACCACCTGGTCATCTGAGAGAGGGGAAGCTTGTCCCAAGCCATGAGTAGCAGCGACGGATACAGCTGCCCCGGAGGCAATTGATGCGATCTACTGGCAGTCAGTTTTACTATACAGATGGCACGAAGCAAACAAATTATCTGAGAGAGCTAGCTAACCAAAGTGCTCAAAAGGAGCGTCACACTAGACACCTTCCTCCTCAAAACCTGCCAGTTTGTCGTCAAACAGGCTACGACAGCGATGAAGGAGACGATGAGGAGGAAGCATGTCACGACCTTGACTGCTGCAGAATGGTCTGTCATGACTTTCAGGCGTGAAACAAAATAACCTTCATGGTACCGAATCGGATTCCAAGGCACAGGTAGTGAAGGATTTTGGCTGGCTACGAAACTGATCGTGATTGAACGATTTTAGGCATATAAGGTAAATAAGACCGCTGGCTGAAGAGAAGGCAGATCCTACTTGTGAGCAGTGCGTGAACAGCCCCATACACAGCCCAGCAAGCAAACATGCTCTCTGCACGAGCGGAGATGGAGCACGGGTCGCACTGGAGACACACAGGAGCGACAGGATACGCTGGATAAGACTGGATCCCACTGGATACTACTGGGGCTGGCGCGTGCCGCCCGGAAAGTTTAGTCGGGGAGGCCCGATGATCGCCAAGGCCGTCGGCCTATAAGCGTCGCACTATGGCTCTGCGCCCCTCCGCCTGGATTCTCTAGCGGCCGCCCTCTCTGCACACTGCAGGAATATCTAACCCTAATGGGGAAACACCAGTCAATACATGTGAGACGGTTGGCTGTCTCGGTCTTACTGCTTATGGCCAAGACTGCTTGAGTAGCCGAGCTGCCTTGGCTAATATGCTTCTTGGTTTTGTGCTGTGTTGGTGGTCGTGGTACGTAGTGGTGGTGGGTGGGCTTTCCCGGCCAACCCGAACAAGATGGACAGCTAATAGACTAGGGCTGACGTTGGATGGTCCCATTGTTGTGGTGGTGGACGGGTGGTGCACACCCTCCCCTCCCTGTCTACTTCTCCACTTTCCAACTCCACCCCCCTGCTTGCCAGCCTTCATTCCTTTCTCTCTTCCTTCCGGAGTCGCTTGGTCGCGTTCCAATTCCAATTTACGCCCATATGAGACACGCGGCAGCCAAGATCGTCTAATTTAGTAGTAGTTGAACATTTCTCGATAGGCTAGACTACTAGAACACTGGGGATGCAATTTCGTTTCCTCACACTCAGCCATCCTTCAGATATCGAAATAACGGCCCCCAACTTACAATGCATCTGGCCCCCAATCATCGCACGATACTTTCTGCAGCTGATAACGTAGAGGGACCCTTTGCTTCTTCGGGTAATCCGGCCGATAATTGGTCTAATGGCAGGACTGTGTGTGGCAATCCTGCAGGGTTTACCGTCTACGTTGGATTTTATCCGGCCGCGCTTGCATAAAATGACTCCGAATCAGTCTCTTAAAATCCATGCCTTCGAAATCACACCTTCTCTTACTTGTCTAGTTGCCTGCGTCTTGGACTGGTCGTGACGAGTTCCCAAAATGGCCAGGAACAGCGATGTTGAACATTCGATCGAGCTGCGTGCTCCAACGAACCGGGATTCTGGCACGCCGAGCAAGGCTACTTTTAGTAACGATGCTTACGAGCTGGCCAGGGTCGGAAAGAAGGAGGTGCTGAAGGTAACCAACACACACGTTATCCCCGAGATTCTACTACCATCAGCCGCTGAGATCTACCCTTGCTAGCGACGATTTGGTCTAACGAGTACTGTCGGGTTTGCCTGCAGCTTGATGCTGACTTGGGAAGCGGTTATAATGTATGCGATATTTTTTCAATATTCTTTTTTTTCTCTCTTTTACCCCTCTTTTTGTTTCCCCACTCCCCCTTGCTTTTTATCCCGTCAGAACTCTACAAGCTAATAGGGATAATTAGGAACATTGGCTTGGGACTCACCAAGTAAGGCCTACCATGGAATGAGCTTACCTCTGAAGAAAACTGTTTGTTAACCCTTGTGCAGTGGTGGTCCCGCCGGTTTGGTGTATGGCTTTCTTGGGGTCTGGGCGGGCATCATTTCCGTGTTCATTTCGATGGGGGAGCTAGCAAGCATGATGCCGTCGGTATGTGTCCGACACTTCCTGCAGCTGAGAATGAGCCTAATTTCTCACCACAGGCGGGCGGACAATATCATTGGGTGAGCATCTTGGCCCCCAGGTCGGCCAGGAAGTTTCTCAGTCATGTCACTGGTATGTGTGCGACTCCATGTGCCGAGTATGCGAACCGCGGTCCGAATTAGCTAACGCAAGGAAACATCCAGGCTCGGTCTGCATTATTGCGTGGACAGCGGCCCCCACAGCCGCCATCTACCTGGCCGCCAGTGTGCTGCAGAGCACCATTGCCATGAACATCCCCAGCTATGATCCCAAAGGATGGCACATCACGCTGATCATGTGGGCGATTCTGCTCGTCTGCACAGTTCTCAATACTTGGCTGGGGATGATCTTGCCGGTCATTGAAGTGCTTATCCTACTTGTCCATGTGCTTGGCTTCTTCGCCGTCTTGGTTCCGCTCGTCTATTTGGGGCCCAAGGCCGATCCGCGATCGATCTTTACTGTATCCTTCGATTATGGCGGCTGGGGTGATCTGACCTTGGCTACCTTTATCGGGTTAAAAGGCACTGTGGCTGCGTTTGTTGGTAAGGCAGACTTTCGCGTCTAATCAACTTCAACATGATATACTGACTCGGGTTTTGTGTTCACTAGGTACTGATGGCGCGGTTCATGTAAGTGCTTCCTTCTCGGTGTTTAGCCGCTGTTTGAGTCAGTTGCCAAACTAACCCCTTACAGATGGCCGAAGAAGTCGCCAACAGCAGTCGGGTGGTCCCCCGTTCTATGCTGCTGGCCCTCATGATCAACGGCGCAACTGGCTTTGCCATTCTGATTGCCTTCCTCTTCACCGCTGGAGACCTGTTGAAGATTGTGGAATCCAGTGCCTCGTATCCCTTCATGTACATGCTGGCGAGCTCGACGGGCAGTAAGGGTGCTGCGGTTGTTCTCTCCAGTATGATGGCCATTCTGCAAGCGTGTGCAGGACTCGCGGGTATCTCTTCCGGCAGTCGTATGCTGTGGTCATTCTCCCGCGAGCAGGCCATTCCCGGCTGGCGCTGGGTGCGACAGGTAAGTGATGGGCCTAGCCTCTATTCGCCCTCGGGTTGTTTTGTTAGGAATATTCTAATTGCGATCGCTCTTATCTACAGGTGAACCAACGGACTCTCGTGCCCTTCCACAGCACGTTGGTGGTGGTTATCGCAGCCGGTCTGCTCAGCCTGATCAACATCGGGTCGGCAGTGGTGCTGAACATCATTCTGTCGCTGGTCCTGGAGGCCTTCTTTGCCTCGTACATGATCTCTCTGACTCTCCTGCTCTATCGTAGATTGCGCGGCGACCTCACCGAGCCGGGTCAAGGCGGCGGTGTCCTCAACTGGGGGCCCTTCCGAGTCAAAGGGTGGTTGGGCACGGCAAATAACATCTTTGCCATTGCCTACTCCATCATCATGATGTTCTTCGGGTGCTGGCCACCGGAGAACCACCCTGCTCCCAAGAATATTAACTACAGCATTGTCATTTTCGCGGGAGTAACCCTCATCAGTATCGTGTACTATGTGGGATGGGCGCGGAAGCACTACAAGGGCCCGCTAGCCGAGATTTAGTTGGATGCTTTTGACTAACTAACAGCTCGGGAAATGGCGCAATTTTCCACTTGATTCAGGGACTTTTCCCCTACTTGACAGTGGCGTCGCCCTAAAATAGTCTACCTTATACCATAGTACTACTTTTTTTAATTAAAAAGAGGGATTCATTTAGTCCGTCCGTGACAGGGTAACATCGGCTTCCGGCTACTAAATTAGTTCATTACTTGGTAGATAATTTAGGGAGGATAACTAATCTAACTAATCTATTTTCCATTCACTACTCTCTATTAGTCAAGTCAGATACTTTTTTTCTCTTTCTCTTGTTGTTTCCCCTCATCCCGCGCGCGCCCCCTCAATTTCCCCGTTTCAATCGATCATCCATCCATCAATCCTTTCCCAAGAGTCCAGCCAGCCCAGCCCATCATGACCAAGTCGCAGTTCGAAGTCCGGGAAATTCACACCAAAGAGGAATATGCCCGTCTAGTCGACGTCCTCTGGTCGGCCAACTTCAACCCTTACAAGTAAGTGAGCGCGCAATTTACCACCACACATTCCTTCCCTTCCTTCTTCCTTCATTAATCTCCTCCCCCAATCCTCCCTCCTATCCTCCCATCCCCGTACAGTAGTAGAGTTTCAAACTAATCTTGCCGGTCGCACCACCACCACAATCAACAGCCCAGTATTCACCGCCGTCCACCCCGTAAGCGGCCACACCGCAGAAGACCGCGTAAAAGACAAAGCCCTCGACACGGAAATCCGCTGGGCCGCTCACGAGAAGAATCCCGCCTCCCATCTCATCTATGTGATTGATACCGAGACCGGTCGCGTCGCCGGTGGCTGCGAATGGCTCATCTTTCACAAGAACCCCTTTCCCAATGGCCCTCAACCGCTGTCATGTACTTGGTACCCGGAGGGTTCGGAACGCGCGGAATATGCTAGTCGCATGCTCAGTCAGGCTTTCTTTCCGAGACAGTGTTGGTTGCAGAGGCCTCATGCTGGTATATACCCCTTCATTACATTTACTTTATCCATTATTGAAGAGAGCTAACTGATGAATGAATAGGCGTAAATGCCATGGGCGTCCACCCCGATTACCGCCGTCGAGGCGTAGGACGACTCCTCATGCAATGGGGCCACGAGAGGATCGATCCCCTAGGATACGAGAGCTGGATCGAGGGCAGTCCCATCGGTCGCTGGTTGTATGAAGAGAGCGGATACAAGCGTGTCATCAGTCTGAACATCGACTTTGCGAAGAAGAACCCCAGTGATGAGTGGAACAGGCTGGTGCATGAATGTCAACCGCCCGCGATTCTCTTGCTTTGGCGCCCTCCGCGCGGTGAGTGGAATGATAAGGTGCCTCCGGGTCCGTGGGCGGTTACCGAGGATACCTGGAAATAGGTTCGTCGGTTCGTCAAGAGTGTTGCGATCTTAGATGTAGAATAGATGAGATGATGTTGATGATTGATATGATGATGGAATAAAGACAAGACTTCTTTCTTAGTCACTGTGTTTCTTGTTCGCTGATACTCGGGGAAACTTGATGCGGAGACGCCGTTTCCCCTCACGCTTTTAGGTTTCGCATCCAACTCTGTTCTGTGTCCAGACCAGCCTTCATGCGGTCATAGTGCACGCCTTAAGGCCAAAGCCTGCTGAAGCTGGATGTAACGATATGCTTATATTTTTCGTGTTCTTTCATTGGTAGTGGTATTTCCCTGCGGATGGCGACTCCCATACAAAGGGTCCTTTACGAAGAGCTGACTCTCCTCGTGTAATTGCCATCCACGTCTCTCTGGCCGGTTATACCGCAAGCGGACGAGGTCTAAGTATCATCAATACAATCTTACCCTTCAGGCCACCCGTAGCTTCGCGTATATCAATCACCTGTTGCGTTAAGACGCATACAATCTCCACCTTCTATTGTGTCTGCAAGTCCCCTCATACTTCACATGAACAACATGAAGCCAGAAGAAACATACGACTTCATCGTAGTCGGAGCAGGCGTCGCAGGTAATCCCCCAATCACAATATCTCCCACTCATACTGATAAGCAACAGGCTGTGTGGTAGCGAGTCGAATCTCGCAAAGCCGTCCCGATCTGCGCATCCTGCTCATCGAAGCCGGCGTCGAGAAAGACGATCGGACATCCGGCGCAATGGGCTTCGCGGCAGGATTCGGCTCGGATCTCGAATGGCCCCATCGCTCGGTACCGCAGGAGCGCGCTTTCGGAGGTGATACGGTGTGTCTGGCCTCTGGCAAAATTGTCGGGGGAGGGTCCGGGGTAAATTATCAGGTGTTTACGCGCGGGCCGGCTGTTGATTAGTGAGATTCCATACTATTAACGGTGATATGGTTACGAAGATTGTTGCTGATATGACTGTGTTTGGTTAGTGACCAATGGGCAGATCTTGTTCAAGACCGGAGATGGTCGTGGAATGGTCTTTTGCCGTATTTCAAGAGGGTCGAGACGTGGTATCCTTCTGTGGAGATGAAGGAGAGAGGCCTTCTCACTGTTGATTCTCATGGAGATTGTGGGCCGATCAAGGTAGCTATCGCATCTATCTTCTGCATTACGAGTTACCTTGTTGATATCGTATAGGTCAGCCATGCGACGAACAGTGGACTGCCACGAAATTACCCGTTGCGGGAGAAGAGTCGCAGATTCCACGAATTGCTCGGTCGCAAGCAGGTGGATGATATGAATAGTGGACAGCAGCTGGGGTACTCGGAGGCGTTTAGTTCCACCTATGCGGGATTGAGGAGCTTTGCGAGTAGCTACCCTTTGGGGAGTAACGTCACTGTCTGGACGAATTCAACAGTGGAGAGGCTCATGATGACTGGGAAGACTGTGGAAGGCGCCATTATTGCGCGATCAGTGGGAGATCAGATTGAGCGCGTCCATGTCAAGGCTCGGAAAGAAGTGATCCTCTCAGCTGGGGCATATGGATCACCCAAAATCCTCCTTCTAAGGTGAGTTAGCATTAACTGCTTCTGAGGATAGAAAAACCTAATAACAGTAACAGCGGCATCGGCCCAGCAGAAGAATTGCAGCCACATGGCATCACTCCAGTCGTAGACCTTCCCGTGGGGAAGAACTATGCTGACCACCCTCATATATTCACCTACTGGTCGATTGACGAGCACAATGCTACCCTAGGTGATGGGGAGATGGAAACAGAACAGGTCCATTGGCTAGCGGGCTTACCATACGACTGGATGTCTTTTGCACCTGCGGATGCAAAGACACAAGAGCTGGCCAAACAAGTTCTGAGCTCAGCCGAGCGCAATCGGTACTTGGCTGAGGGGAAGATGCAACTTGAAAACTTTATTGTGTATGCTGTTCGTCAAAGCTCGCAGAAAGAAAGGCACTGCTAACCAAGTCAGTTACACCGCCGTCGACACGTCCGCTCGCAAGAAACCCCTCGAAGGCTGGCCCGGGAAGCGCGTCATCAGCCTCATGCACGTTCTCGTCGACTCAGTATCACGGGGTACTCTCACGCTGCGATCATCTGACCCTGCTGACACCCCCGTGCTCGATCCCAAACTCCTTGCATCCCCGATTGACCGATCGGCGATGTACGAGAATGTGCGGGAGACTGCGCGTGCCATACAGGCCGTCGAGGGTCTTAATGCTGTCGAGTTCGGCGTCGACGATTCCCTCCGTGACAATTGGTCCGATGAGGCGATCGATGTCCGGGCGAACCGGAGTGGTGGTAGTTGCTTTCACTACTCGGGGACTTGTGCGATGGGGGAAGTTGTCGACACTGAGTGTCGGGTGTATCAGGTTGAGCGATTGAGGGTTGTGGACTCTGGTGTAATCCCACTACCGTTGGCGGCGCATTATCAGGCGCCTACGTATGGTGTTGCTGAACAGGTAGGTATTGGAGCATGGGGGCATAGTGCTGCTGCTGATATGTGCATTGTAGGCTGCTAATATGATTCTTTCCTCGGTGGCGTGACCAGCCGGATCTCTCACTATTATCGAGAACTGGCAATAAAAGGAGTAAGATACATGGTTGTTGGAAAATGTGCCTATGTTCGATGCTCGATGTAGGCCATTGTCGTGCCAAAAAGTTGCGATCCCGGGCGGGGCCGCAGGCCATGTCCACTTTGATGAAAATGGATGGAAAGCACGGAGAAGAGGTTATTCATAGCCAATAAAAAGAAATGATGCTGCCGTCACTCACTCCTGGTGGGAGAGGAGGGGGGGAAGAAGCAAATACAAAAAGAAAAAAAGAAACGACCGAGACGTGACTCGAACACGCAACCACTGCCACATCCACTACCGGAAGGCAGCGCGCTACCATTGCGCCACCCGGCCGTACTTGATGTTTGTTGCAAACACTTTTGCCTTATGCCTGAAGATTGTACCTTGTTCCACAAGAGGATTCCTTGCAGACAGGCTAGGTCAACAGGCGGCAAATTTGGGTGTCAACCTTAGGTTCTTATCTTTTCTCGGTTATATTTTTTATGTGGAGCATGTATAATGTGCCAGTTGACTTATTAGACTATTCCTCCCGTAGGCGGGCATGTTCACGATTCCACCACCTGGACACTGCAAGATATATATTCTCTTCCACTAGTATACCGAGCATACTCACTAGTAGACTAGCAATTACACTTACAGGCTTCATCTCACTTGCCCTATTGCCGACATTTAGCACCAATAAACTACCATGCAGTGTCTCATAGTGTACACAAGGCTATATATGCGATCGAACATACTCCTTTACCTTGCCAAAAATCACCACATACTGATCCAAAAACCCAGTGACACAGTAAGCCTAAACGTCAAGTCTATGGGTAAGATCTACTATTCTACTCCGTAGAGCTGCTTCAAGAATGGCAAATTATGATTATACAAATAAACTGGTCCACTGTTATTCTCTATAGCCCACTGACAGGCGGCAATGAGCTGAGTGCGAGCTAGATGCTAGTCGATTGGACGGAAAAAAAAAAAAAAAAAAGCGACCAGAAAGCTTAGCAATTAGCGCATCACTAATAAGCCAGTCTACCAAGGTTTCATTGGCCCATTGATCCGTTAGATCTCGACCTTGTCCGTGCTCAAAAAAGGCTGGAATCGGAGTCCCGACTCGTCCGCCTGACGTGAGATTTAAGTGGATGTTGAGCTTACCTTTGTATTGGGTGGTGCAAATAATACCCCATGTCTACGCACTACACGACACTGCAACCAGCCGAACGTCGTTGGCTCGCACCAGCTGGCCTGCAATGGCTTGCTGAGCCCCAGTAGGTACACATGTAGTGCGAATCAGCAGTATGGTGCCTTTAGTGACAGCTTTGTACCCCTCCCTCATCTAGACTACCATAATGCGCTAGCGATAGATCCATATAATCTACAGCCGCCCCTCTCTATCACCCATAATCTGACCACCGTAATCTCATCAACCGTATTATTACCATCCAGCCAAATGGCACCCACCATCCTCTTCGTCCCCGGTTTCTGGGAGGGCCCCAAAGTCTTCACCCCCGTATGCGATCTCCTGAAGGCTGATGGCTTCAAGACAGAAGTCTGCACATTACCCAGCACGGGCACCACCTCGCCCGGAAACCCGGCTATGACCGATGATATAGCCGCCGTGCGCGACCATCTGACGAGCATCGTGCACCGCGGAGAAGAGGTCATTCTCGTATTGCACTCAGCTGGTGGATTCCTCGGTAGCACTGCCATGGAAGGCCTGAGCAAGTCGGCTGTCGGACAGGGTGGAGTCGTCAAGATTGTCTTCTTGGCTGCGGCGGTTTTTCCGGAAGGTCATGAACACGAGGATTTGCCATTTGCTGTTGTTGAGGTTGGTTACCCAGCCTATTTATGTTCTCGCCCCTAATATGGTGGTGTCTGGTTGACGTGTGAATTGACAGGGAGGTGCGATGTACTGCGTCGATCCTGAGGTGCTGCTTCTCAACGACGTTACTGAGCCAGAGAAGACAAAGTGGCTGGCTATGCTTGCCCCCCAGCCGGCTGATGGTTGGAATGGCAGGGTGCCCTACGCTGGGTGGAAGGATGTGCCCAGCGTGTACCTTGTCTGTGAGGGTGATAATGCTCTTCCAGCGGGCCTCCAAGAGCAACTAGCTAACCTGGCGGGGAGCCAGATCGAGCGGTGCAGTGCTGGCCACATGCCTCAGCTCAGTCAGCCATCGCGGGTGGCAGAGGTTATACGTGCTGCTGCGGCAACCATTTGATGGCAGCGAAAATTAGAGCATGAGTGTGATGAAGAATACGATAAATCAAGCAAGATTGAGATGTTGGGGCACTGTATATCTGAAGCGCAAAATGACGCGAAAATAGAAGAAAATGGTATATGACGTGAACATTAATGAGCGATTTGGATAGTATTGTACAGTTATTCAGAATCATCCGACTCAATCCCTTGGCCATTGATGGCGAGTAGCTGGACATCACTGCACGACAGTGAGTCAAGAGAAGTCTTGGTTTGGGGTAGGAACTTACAAGACAAGGGTTGAGTTGCCAGGAATAAACGGAGGAGCTCCCCTGGAAACAACATCAGCGCAAATTCCAAATCTTTGGGATATAATGAAACTTACCTCTCGCCATATCCAAAGTGACTGCCGGACATAAGGAATAGTTAGTAGTGGACATGTTGAAAGGAGATAGCCATTGTAAATAAGACATACGGGCCGAATGTAAGATAGGCTCTTTCACCCAGACTCATCCCCAAAATACCAACATCCCATCCTGAAACTGATCAGCCTAACATTCTGCAGGGGTTGCTGCACTGACGCACCTTTGATCACCTGGCCGACACCGACCTTGAAAGTAAAAGGAAATCCCCGTTTAATACTGCTGTCGAATCTATAGTGGGACCAATATCAGTATGAAGAACAGCCCAGGCCATGCAAGTAATGGTAAAACAAACGGCAAGCCGTGTCTTCCTGTTTGATAGGAACATACCGACGCCCTCGGTTCCTTGACCGTGCCGGGTCGTAAAGATAGCCGTGGTAATGCACGGTTACCATGTCACCCGGCTTGGGATAATCCACGCCATTGCCCGGGCGCAGAATATCCTTGATGAAATCGATAAACCCCATATTTTTTGGTCAGGTAATCTGGTAAACTCCAGATGGATTGTGGGGAAACAATGGGGTTGTGAACGGGGCACGTCTTCCTGCCAGCAGGTCACATGACCAGTTGAGATTGTGCCGGAACGGAAAAAGTTTATGATTTGAGCCCTGCAGAAGAGGCTGGGTGGAAGGTATGTCTGCTTCACTGCGGTCGGAAGATGAACTCTATGGAATGAAATTATACTAGATAGAATAACACAACAGAGCATCTGTTTCAGCTAGGTTTGATACTGATTTCCTTTGATTTTGACTACAAAGTAGTAGTTGTAGCACATCAGTGCCTGAGGTATCCATACATTCACAGACAGGTGTGAATCCCCGGTATGGAGTACACTGGAGACAGTGAGTGTATTCACGGCTTCTCACTAGTTGCCCTGAAACGCGTCCCGTCCTTCACCGAGCCAATCATTCACACTAGCCTAGCATAATGAGGGGTTTTTGCTATTGGATAAAAATATAACAAGGTTGCACAGCAATTCAACTAAAAGACGGCGCATCCTCCGCTAAATCTCGAGGAGGGAGTTAACCGTTGTTATCCCATTACCCTGACTGGAATTCGCCACAGAAGACAACGGCACTGTCTATTATCATGCATGAAATGTTATTGTCATTCATCGCATTGCGCCTAGAACCAAAGGGCAGGGCTCAACCGGCTTGTCACTGTCATGCCGCTAGCGAAAGTCTCCCTTTTATATCCCGATTCCCTCTCCAGGGACCAAGATGTTTCCTATCTCCTGCAGTATCGGTAGCAAGACACTATACTATCACATCAAGACATTATCATAGTAAGTGTTCACTGCAGCAAAGCAGCTCCGAGCAGACAATATGCCTGCCTCACGCCTCAAGCGACAGGACAGACCCAAGCACTCTGAGCTTGATACACAACGACATGCAGTGCGCGCCGGCATAGAACGTGGAGAAAGCAACTTTGAAGAGGCAAACAAATCAGAGAGGGAGACATGGGCCAAGGCAAATAGACACCTGCTGATTCAAGTGTCCGGTATCAGCGAAGAAAGTCTGATTGATGAAGGCCGGGCTGGACGATACTCATGTCCGCCACTTATGTCGGCAGATTCGGAGGCCTTTCTAAGCCCCGAAGAGACCACCGCCATGCCTCGTCCCGCCTTCTACAGACAAGTATGGAGTAGGCCTAGCCTTGTCATGCGGCCAATGTATCCGTTGACGCCTGACGACAGCCCCGAGGACGAAATGAATCCTAAAGCACACAATGCTTCGAAACAACTCCACCAGACTTTGGAACAATTTACCACCGGCACTACCAGCTCCAGTTCCGACCTTGCGAGCTCCACCATATCCAACTCACAGGGGCATATCAAGAGGTGTGCACGGCACCAGAGACGTTCGACCCCGTACTCTCGGCCTAGCCGTGCCCCCCGACCGAGCCGCATCCATTCGCCGAATGAGTGGCTCGGTCGGATGCAGGATTGCTTGAGCGAGGTTGACATGGAGGTTATCGATCAGCAAACGGACCTTGTTGGGCTCCGTAATTACGACCTGAGCCATGTCATTGTCAGCCACCGAGAGTACCCCTTCAGGGAGATCAACTTTATCATGCTCGTATGGAAAGATGTTACGGGCCCAATAGACGTCGATTGGCCTGCTTTGCAGGTTCCCCTTAAGAATCGCTTGGCAGCATCGTACCACGGACAGAATGACCACGGAAGCCGAAGGGCCCTCTACGGTGGGATCGTAGTGGGCCAATTGGCTCAATTTTATGTCTTTGTGGGAGAGGGACCGGCGCAGTTGAACCTGTCCATTTTCGAGGACAACAAACTGACGCTCAACCTGGAGCATGACCAGGAACTTATCGACGGCCATCTGTCCTGGGTTAAGAACGAGTTTCCGCCGGAAGTATACGAGGAGATCGAGAACGATCCCAGCATACAGGCAGCTGCCTGTTGCATCGAGGACTTTTTTGGCTCCGTGAGCTCGTCTTCAACTGCGTTCGACCTACTGCCCGAGCCCGAGATCGTGCTGGTGACCGACCAATCCAGCACGTCAGCACCATTGCCTCAGCCCGAGTTCGTGCCGGAAGAGCTGTCACCAACTATCCTCGAAGTGGAAAATACCTTTGAAGATTTCCTTAGGGAAGTCACCTGGCAGTCTGCCGAATCCGAGCATAGTCAAGACGAGAATGAGCAAGCCGGCAATGATGACGACAGCGATGGAATTAAAGAAGACAAAATAGATGATGTAGCCGACATCATTGACGAGGACACCCTAATAAAAAAAGCCCTGAAGTACGTGGGTGAAGGAGCACTCGACACAGTAGTCGGGTCCGTATGTCTAACAGACGAACTGAACTTTGAGACCGATGACGAGCAGGGACGTTATATCAAGAACGAGCTCTGCTGAAGTGGTTGGAGGTTCTCATGGCCACCACTTAAACCAGGTCATATGGCTTCGAAAAGTCCACGATCCTAAAAGTCCACGATCCTAAAAGTCCACGATTTTGTACTGCAGAATTTCGAGAAACTTTGTCGAAGATAGCTTGAAAATATGACTGTTGCTTACCACTTTAAAAAACCCGATGCCTTCGTAGTACGATTCAACTAAGAAGACCTTTGAAGTGAGAGCTAAGGTACGAAGAGGACACTGTCAGTTGGGGCTTATGAAGAGTTGAAATAAGGTTTCTAGGTTGCGCACGAACCCATGGATTAACAGGCTGCTAATTAAGATTCATGGGTTATGTATGTTGTAGTGTGAATGACTGCTGGAGCTTCTGATTGATGATTGGTCCACAGAGCCAATTAAATAAAAGGTACATAGACACGATTGTTGAAGCATGCCGTCACTTGTTGGAGGCCACATGACACCAAACCAGATCATGTCAACCACTATCCTCGTGCATTAGCCCCTCTTGTACACCTGTCCATGTATACAAGGTGGAGTTGGCGTCCTTATGTCTTGTTCCATATTCTTTTGGGTAGTATTTAAATTCAATTCAGTCAAAGTTCTCAATGTGTAACCCGTCCCTTCCTATCTATATGCTGACTATACAGATGCATCGCCGCTCAAATAGTATATAGCAGCTTGTAACCTACAGAATCACATCAAGACGCGAGTTTCCCTTTGATGAACATGATCATCGCATCTGTATACAATTTGCTGGTCGGCACAGAATGACCACCCGGGTGAATGAGCACTTTCTCTTCCTCGGCACCCGTGGTCGCATCAATCAGAGTGCGGCTTCTTTTGTAGTACACAACATCATCAAATTGCCCATTCATATGAAGCATTGGCCCTGAGATTTTTGGGGAATAGAAGGCTTTGTACCGAAGGTTCAATCCAGCGAAACCACAGCAGCTGATTGAGAACTTAATCGGGTCCACCCCGTCGAACGATTTTGGGAACGGAATACCTCCACTCTCCACTTCGGTTTTTTCAAAGACACTCTTCCTGCCTGGCTCGAGCAGACTCGTAATAAGTCCGGTTAGAAAACCTCCTTGGGAAAATCCAATGACTCCAGCAAAGGGACCCTGCGAGCGCATAATGTCACCAAGCTTCTGTAGTCCATCGAGCAAGCCTGGGAATTCATCGTCATCGTTGACCTTATAGAACCATCCAAAACCTGGATCGGTTCCCGGTATATAGCGTTCCCAGTCGGTTGGCTTAAGTCTCCAGGTGCCATCAGGGTACACAAGCTCTACACCATCCGGGTAATCGGGATGGTATCCAGGCGCAGGCGCTGCTGGAAAGGCTTCCATGAGGGCTTTTTCCAGGCCACGTATGTCGGCGCGAAACGACTCTCCGGTTTCAGTATAACCTATCGAGCGTAATTTATGGTCAGTGGTGGCAATGACATCCGTGCTTAGAGTCAGGATAGTACCATGGATCATAAGAATCTTGAGCTTGGAGGTCGTTATTCTTGTCATTGTAGAGATTGATTTAGGGACTTTGAGATCAATTGAAGATGTATCAAATGGTGTTATTTTTCTCTGAGGGTTTATGTTGATGAGGTGATTGACACCGTGGTATTCGGCTTCCTATATATGACTAGATGCGGGGTACTTGCATGATAGGTACACGCACGTCAACTGACTTCTTGGAAATTGCCCAATGGCACTGACTAAGTTGATATGTGCCATAATGATATAGAAGGTGCTCCCATAATTAGATTCAAATCAAAGCGTTAAAAACGTGCAATAGATCAGTAGGTGCTCTATATCTATATCTTCTCTTGCCTTGAAGACAGTGAATAACATCTAGTACTTTCAATACTCCACCAAGAACCTTCCGAACTTGATCAAAATTCCAATGAGCGGAAACGGTCATTGTAGCCAAAATCGGAACTGAAAATTCGTATCAATAATCGCATATATTACGATCCGCTATGGTCAGGGTAGAGAATTGGGCGCTTATCTTAAGATGACGCAATACGTAGTCCACCTGGAAGATAGCTAAGCGGCTTGCAGGGCTAGTATGAAATGATTAGTGCTATATCGCTCCGAAATTGAGTTGCTGCAGTTTAGCGGCAGCATGCAACTTATGGATAAGAAGCGTGAGAACCGCTTTGATGTGACTGGTAAAAGAACAACTGTGTCCATACTTTGAGTGAACAAATCCAAGCGTGGTCAAACATTGTACACAACCTGAGGAGCATAGGAAGATGGATGCTTTCTTTTCTCCAAATAGTCGATCCTTTAGGAGACGGTGCAATCAATACTCCTTATCATTTGTCATTTATCGAAAGTTAGAACTATTGTATTCCATCCAATCACTTGATGCGTACTGATAACGCTTTCCCGCAAATTACGACCCACACTGATAGACCAAGTCGGACTTCAGCCCTATCTTGCTCTGGCCTCTTCATGTGGATCATCTTATGTATTGCCCCTTCTGAATTCGCTCGCAAACGCAAAAGACATGGTAAATTGAATTATTTATCCCTCAGCGAGAATTGACAAATACGAAATATACGGCGTATATTCCTCGAGTTGACCCCGATGGGTGGGGACGAGAGATCAAGGCATTTCTGACATTCAACAACCTGCACTCCTTCTGTCGCAAATGAGTAAATACAACTGATTAGAGCTCGCATTGTAATGGCCAATAGAGATCATATTATCGCTTCAAGCCATGAGAACAGGTGTAGCAAATTTTCCGGCATTTGCAAAAGTAATTATGAACCTGCGCCAGATGAACAGAAGGCATTGCACGAGGATAGCTCGTTACTTCCATCCATTTCCTCCGTCGTGGGAGAACCCGAGCATCGGAGGCCCATCAAATCCATGCAACACATGGGGCACATGCTCGACCCAGTCCATAGAGACCGCGGGCTAGAGGACTGTATTTCCCGTGTCCAGGAACAATCAATTGATCTGGCCGCAATTAATTTTGTCCAAGATTGTTCCTCCGATTGTTCCGCCAATTTGACGAAGCAGGTCTCTGACCAGAAGCAAGTCTGTTTCGGACAACGCCGGCGGAGGATGACTAGGGGTCTTAAGTGTGGATAGCTCGGAAAACTCCGTTGTGTGATTATCCAGCACTGTCCGGGTGAGTTTAGAAACCCATCTCAATTAGTGACCCTGGCCGGTCATTGAATGGTGGGATAATGGCGGCGGGATGGATGTATAATAATGCTTCCTCACGGCCCATACCGGCTCAAGGCGACTGCCGTTTTACATTGGCACTGCTGAAATTTCGTCTGGAGGGAATTCAAAGGCCAGTTTGCGGGCGATCTCCTTGTGGCCTGCATATTGGTTGCACAAGGATCTACCCGAAAGCGTCGATTCTCTTCCGAGGGAGCCGGCCGGGCACTCTTTGGAAGTGCCTCGCTTAACCACCTGTCCAGCTGTCAGGGACGATGAATAAATCAAAAATGCTGCGTACAACATGCGATTAGATGTGCCCGGTCGGAAAGTGTTATTCCATTGTCGAGTGAATCAGACATCCAGGGAGATGCATTCTTGGAAAAGACAATCGAGGTTATGGTCTCTCCCATGAAAGACGAGACTTGTAATTGACTGGCTGTTGTACCCAGTAAGCTTGGGTGTACCACCGCCATCATCCACTGGTTGAGTGACAGCAAAAACATCCCGGCCGATTGCCCTCTGTTGATTGATGATCTTGACCACGTTGAAGGTCTGATATATTGGAAACGCCCCCTCTTCGGTTGGTTGCAGATTGATGAGCGTCTGCAACCAGTTTTGGATCTCCAATCCGACTGATAGGCTCTGGCACCGGAGAATACCCGCCAAGAGTAAGCCCGAGAACCCGATAGTGTAGCTATTCTTGGTAATGGACGTCTGCATATCGCTCCACTGTGCAATCCGGACTAATGTCTGAACCCAATATTCCTCTTCATTACACTCCCGTCCGAGATGGGCGTTTTCGGGATCACAAAGGAGTCGCAGAACACCCGTGCACTGCATGGCTCGCGCAACTACGTAGTATGCATAGTTCAGCGCGGCATCGTGGGACTGGAAGCGGATTGTAGTGCTGTCTATGTCGTTGAACGCGTAAATTGGCTGCTCAGATGGCGGAAGTTGCAACACCCACGCATCGAGCTTCGCCGCTTCTTGGTGTAATAGACTAGTGCAATATGCATAGCGATCATCAAAATCGGAACCACTAACGTCGTCTGACCGAAAAATTTGAAATTGCTGCAGTATGGTACTGAAGTTTAATCGATGTGATTCACACATGATGCTAAGGACTTTCACACGTCGCTCATGTAGTGTCTGAGGTACGTCTAATAGGGAGGCCGGCAAAGGTATCGATGGAAGATGCTGACAAACTTCCAATGAACTGAAATAGGCTCGAGCCCACCATACAACATAGCGGATTTGCATCCACGAAGCAAGCAGCGACTTGGTGGCTGCGTCTTTGACGCCTTCATGCCACTCAAGAAGATTCATCATCCCCCGGACGTGAGTGTAAAAGCCCTGGAAATTGCCCATGGCTTGCTCCAGATGAGCGAACAGAACAAGAACAGTTAGCATTGTGACTGAGTTTTGATGGTAGTCTTGTGATTGCATGATGGCCAACTTCTGGATTGCGGACGAGTAGTATAGCTGACTCCGTGTCTGGTGGATGAGACTAGGACTCATTGAACTCATCGTCCCGGCCGAGGGTGTTCTGCGCTCAGCATGAAGGCGCCCGATATTGCACGAGGAAAGGGCCAAAAGGGCGTCGTTGAGAATGGGATGGGCAGCGGCCAATGAAGTGGCAAAATGGAATACTGGGTGCAAAGCTGGTAAGCAAGAGCCTTCCCAGTAGGTGGTGTAGAAGATATCGCGGTCCGTCATTTGCAAAGACTGGATAATGCTATGGCTTCCGATGGAGGGGATATCTTCTGCAGCTTGGACAGCCAATGTCTGGTCCCTAGTCGGTCTTGGGCTTGTCTCTTCTGACGATACACTTGATGTTGTTGCCGATGCTAGCTGCTTTGGTGATGGCTTCGGGTCGTCGACTGTCGCGATTTGAAATTTGAAAGCTGGTCTAGCATAGTCACAGATCTTTCCAAGTCGTGCGCAGGTCCCGCACGTGGGCTTTCGCTCATCACACTTGGTTCTGCGGCTGCGGCAACTCTGACAGCCATTGCGGGAGCGGATGATGTTTGTCTTTTTGGGTCTGGGTGGCGCAGGCTTGTACATGTGTTGTGAATAGGATAAGAGAGATTGTCTTCTCTTCCATTAATCCGACCTCTGATGTCAGTAGTAGCAGAAACACATCAAGTCTGTGTCTGTCCGATGGAAGCCGAGGGCAATCAATGGCGGGAGTTGAGTCACTGTTAATTCAGTGCACGTGATTGTGCAACCAGTCAAATATTCACACGCTAAACCGGATCAAGAAATGCTTATCGCCGATCTATTCGGCACAAAGTAGATAGTTAGATACGTAGTATAGTATATCTTTTGATGCTATTCTATTCTATTGACGAAGACTTTAGCGCCTTCTTCTTATCAATCAACTCTCCCCGTTCCTGAACCAAAGCCGACACAGCCTTCCCCGTCTCTCCTCCCATAGCGGCGAAGCCCTTAACCACGCCATCTCGGTCGCCGGGCCTCATTTCCTGACTCATCTTGTACTTGCCCTCGATTTTAGTAATCTCGATCCGAATTCCTACCACGTTCCTCTGCATCAGTTCAATGTATCGCTCAGGCGCGTCGGCAACCTTCCACGGCTGCGGTCGGTCCCCTCCGGTGAATCCCATGATTCGTCGCTCGCATTGCTCTGACAGATCGTGCATTTGTTTCGACAGGAAGGCGCCCGCCTCTGGGGTCCTGGAATCATAAAAAAGGGAGAGCTTTCCGTAGATTTGAACGGCGGAGTAGTTCCACGTCGGGACAACCTTCCCAGTGTCGGGCTTTGTCTCGGTGTAGAATTTGGGGGTCACATAATGATCATGGCGTCCATTGAATACCACCAGGACATCGCGCTCGAGTGGAAGGATGCTCGGTGGTGCTCCGCTGGCAAGCTCGAGCATGGCTTTGGCTTGGGGATTTTGCTTAGCGATATGGGCACGTAGTTGCGGATTGGACGACGGGTTCTCTTCGGTCTTGGGATGGTCTAGCACGAAGGGGACGTGGGTGCATTGGAGAAAGTCTTGGGCGGAGGAGTCAATGCCCGTGATGAGCATACCCAGAGGGTTCTCCTTGATGAATTGGAGGAGCACCTCCTCATCAGATTCGGCATGTGCGCTGGCAAAGAACATGGCTTGCTCGACTTGAGGAAGAGTACACTGTGTGGATTGTTCGAAGACTGAAGGCAGGGTACTGGGGAGGAATGGATCAACTTTATATTGATGTTATGCCTACTTATCTTGCTTTGCCACTAGCAATTCTGGAGGATCAAGATCCTCGCCTTATCTGTCTCAAACAATAATCCAAAAGATGTGATTTGACCAGCGATTGTGACTCTAGTCCTATGCCTCTTTCCATGTCAAATCTCCGCTCGGCATCGTTCTCGCGCACCCGATCCGGTAATTTGTGGGTCTAGATCCACTTTCGGCCAGAGATCCGATCGCTCTCGGTCACCCGGTTGGGGTTACAGTTGCCTTTGCCCCTGTCAGTCATGGCTCGGTATTTCGTGGCGGCCTCTATTTCTGGTGACCCAATCAGATCTGCGGAGGTGATCTTACTATAACAGGTGTGCGGGTGCGATGTACTGTCTCTCTGGAGAGAAAAGACTCTGTTTTTCGGGTATGGCGTAGACGACAGCCAGTAAATCATAAAGAATATAAGTATCCGCCAGTTTTCGCTAGCATAGACGAGGACTAGCATCCTGGAAAGCTTATATCGTCCATTTAGTGTAGCAGGAACTACCAGCTCATCCAACACAATGGCCAACCAATCGCCACTACGCATCGCAGTCCTCATCAACACACCTCCTGGCAATGAGTTCTGGAACGATGTCCGCGGGTCTTATCAAGATGCCTTTGATGTTATTGCACCAAATGCCAAGGTCAATATGTACGATCCCGTATTTGAAGGAAATTTCCCCAATCCTCAAGAGTATGACTTGATCGTCTTGAGTGGAGGGAAAGCCGATGCCTCATCCTCGGAGCCCTGGGTCCTTGGTGTTTTGGACTTTCTCCGTAGGACTGCGCGGGAGTCACCAAAGACTAAGATCCTGGGTATCTGCTGGGGCCACCAAGCTATATCAAGAGCATTTGGCGGAGAAGTACGAGCAGTGCCTACGGGACCCATTGTATGTGTCGCAGCCCGCCCAGCTCATCATCACCCACAAACTGACATATCTTCTATGATAGGCCGGCCTTGAAGATGTGAAGTTGACCGAAGCTGGAATGAAGTTTTTCTCTACCCGATCAGGTGTTAAGACCTACGTGCGTTGTTTGATGGCTGCCCTTTGGTTGTTCGCCCTGCTGATGATTCTCCCCAGAGGTTACCGGAGTTTCATGTACGAGAGGTGGCCCGACCTGGAGTAGGCTTCATTCACCTGGCGGAAAATCATGAAATGTTTGTTAATCAAGAAAATACTGTGTTGTCGTTCCAGGCGCATCCAGAAGTCCAGACTGAACTGGCTAAGAAGATGTTGTTGGAAGAGGATGATGTGTACAATGGCAATCTTTCGGACCGGGAACTACAAGATCAATTGGCGAAGCTGGAACGGCCAACAGATGGCTTTGAAGTACTGAGACGGGTTATAGAGTGGGTTAGGGAGTAGATTTACCCTATTCGCAATATAGAGCATGGGTCATACTAGCATGATAGAGGGGTTCTTGATCTTAGCAAATTTTCTTTCTTTGCTCGTGTACATTCGCCATGTGACTGGTAAACCAGATACTCAAGCTTCATAGTCTCTTGCCCGGAGCGTTGGGGTCTTGTGATAGAGCCATGATGACTCATGTTAATTCCATAACTAGGGCCGATTCTCTGTATTCTCTGTATGCAGTGTAACGGGGAAAGCTCACATCCGGCGCCACCTGATCCTACGAAGACAGCAGTTATATCCATGAATGCTGCTAGAAAATAGAGTCAGTATCTTGAATTTACCGCTTTCATGAGCCGATATGTTACGTTCCTCTTGTTGTGGCGCCAGATGACTCAATCGCCTTCTCCAAAATGCCAAGAACTATGCTCGATCTCCGCGGAGTCAATCTTCCAAAATTTCTGGACCTGGCAACTTCATTTAGTCAAGAACAACCATAGAAGCCGAAAGAGATCTAAAATCAAGTATGAATCTCTGGTGACATATGTACCGATAAACCATTTCATGAAGGGAGATGGACAGGTAGACGTAAGCTTAGAAATGCCATTACCGGCTGCAGCCTTGATTTGGCCTGGAAGAGTCTTGACTGTGTACGACGCTATATTACCACATCATTGGATGCTAAAGTCCCATTTACCGGCATCTGCTCCCTTGAAAGTCTCACTGTAGTTACTGGTCTCTGCATCGTCTTTGCCGTTCCGATGCTATCCGGAAGAAAACATGCCCCTGTTGATGCTACTCCGAACGCCAAGAGCCCACTTTTCCCCCACGTCCATCACTCATCCTGTTCTTCCGGCGTGATCAAAGCAACGTATTTCATCTACCATCTACCTTAAGCTACAGCAATCTTGAAAAATTCCTACCTTATAGTTACTTTCTGCTCGAATTCAATATATCTGTTAAGTAGCACTCATTTTGACATCTAATAACAGCACACCATGTTATCCCCCAACCCCGTCGATGCCCCGCAACATGTCCTACAGCTCCTCTCCGAACTTCACAAAAAGTCATTGGAACAGGAAGCCCTGATCTCCAAGAATGGCAAATTTATCTCGACAGCTGTTCTCAGCAAGCTGGAAGGCAAAGGCCCTGCCGCCAACCCGCAAGCCGAATTCGATCAACTCATGCTCGACAAGTTCATCGCGCTGGACGAAGACAAATGCCAATTTACCTATCAACTGATCAACTCCATGGGCGCCACCAATATCATCGAGGCAGGCACTAGCTTTGGAGTTAGCACCATCTACCTTGCTCTGGCTGTTGCAAAGACCACCGCGGCGACAGGCAAGTCTGGCACTGTCATCGCGACGGAGAAGGAGAAATCGAAGGCAGATATTGCGCGGGGCTACTGGCATCAGTGCGGTGAGATTGTGGAGAAACAGATCGATCTCAGAGAAGGTGATCTGCTCGAGACCCTGAAGGAAGGGCTGCCGGAGATTGATCTTCTCCTTCTTGATAGTGAGTTCTCTGACCCTTGATAGACACTCCACATGCTAACTGGGATCCGTAGTCTGGACTCCACTAGCACTTCCTACCCTCAAAACCGTTCTCCCTCGCTTTCGACACGGTGCAGTTGTTCTTACTGATAATACGATCTCCGGCGCTCAGGGCTACGCGGATCTGCTGTCGTTCTTGAGATCGCCTGAGAATGGCTTCCGCAACATGACTTTGCCTTTCACTAATGGGTTTGAGATGAGCGTTTACTTGCCGCAAGGAAAGTAAACAGAGAAGCAGGGTTATAACAGTGAGGATGAAGCAGAACGTATCCAGACCAAACTTGTACATAGTTGCATGAGCTCCTTGACTCAGTAATAGTACATATTCACTTGACGCATCTCATAAACTCAACACGAAGTCATGGCCTGACCTGCCTCCTGGTCCGCAGATTCCAGTTCCTTTCCTGTTTTATGTGCAATGAGAGCTTTCAAGAACTCATCGACATCCTGGGCACCACTTAAAGTCAACGCCCCATCTTCAGCAACCTCTCCTCCGCTAATCCGAAAGTATGGCACACCGTGAACGCCTTCCTGACGAGCCGTTGCCGCCATATCATCAATCTCTTCCACCCCCTGTCCCTGCTCAAGCCAGGCCCGGACTCTCGCTTCCTCCAAATACCCCTCACTAGCGTACACGGCAACGCGCACCAGGGTTTCAATATCAGTGATATCCAACTCATCCTCGAAATGAGCTCGGAAGATGCCTTCAGCAACAGCCGTAGCAATATCGCGATCACCACGTCCATCATTCTCTTCTTCCCGACTAACCAACTCGCTCAGCAACATCACTTGATGCGCACGTAGACTACTTCCAAATCGACCTCCGAACTTGAAATGGATCCCTTCTTGTACGCCTAGTCGCTCCAACCGAGCTTTTGCGGCAGGAACTTTATCAGCTCCGAGTCTTTGGGTCATTCGCTCTGTTGTGGGTAAATTGATTAGGATTTGCCTCGATTTTGGAAGATGTAAGGCTACAGACCTATGTAGGGTACACTTTCCATTGGAGCCTCGCGGTCTAGAAAGTACGGTTTCCAGGAGATGCGGATGCGATCTTGGCTTCCACCAGGATAGGTTTTCTGGTATAGGCGGATGGCCTTGGTTAGGCGGCGATAGCCGATATAGCACTGTGCATGGAAGTTTATTTTCAGATGGATATAGGAAGCCATGGGTGGATTGTAACATACCCATGGGCAAACTGGATCCGAGATGACGGTGAGTTTAATGAGTGCCATGGTTGCGAACAAACTGGATTGAAGACGAAATATGGTTGGGAAGGGAAGGAAATCTAGGTAGAGGGATTTCATGGGTTATATAAGTACTTAATGCTGACACTTGATTCGGGGTGGGACGAAAGATGCCGACTAGAAGAGTGGCATTGTAAATGTAGTTGCCTCAGAGAGAGACATGTTTGACTGATTTTAGGCGGCAATCATTCGGCGATCGAGCGAAGCTAAGGTTCTTCGCTGAACGCTAGTAAGAGTGCATTTAGAAGTTAGCCTGCTGAAGAAGACTAGTATTTCTGTCTTAAATTCTAGATATAAGATGCCATCACTGGATGATTAACCGCAGTACGTGCCTAGCAAGAAGTACCTGCATAGACTCAGGATACTCTAGTCGGGCCACTCATGCTGCGTCCCCCCCCCTGCCCCTCCTCGGATTCGGCGGGAATAGCCTGCTCTGGAGGACTTTCCATGCTAACCGACCAATACTATCATAGCCTGCAACTCTTGCATATTGATACCTGCAGACCCCACTGAGCTTCAAGGCAAATGATTCCCAACGAAACGATGGAGCTAGTTGAGCTGGACAGCGAAGTGCAGTTGTAGGGCAGCAACCTTCAGGCCAAACAGCTTGACACATCTTAACTTCGAATTTTCTGTACCTCCTCACCCCTTTTTATTTTAAATCATGCCAGTAACGATTTTAAATCGAATTATCATTTTCTTCGACTGATTACAGTGCCTGTTGAGACGAGATGGGTGACGGAAATACCTTCGACAACAAAGACAATACGGTTCATAACCAGGCCGGTAGTCAAGTTGTTTATGGCAGTATTTATAATAATACTTTCTATGCCTATGATCAAGGTATATCATTCGGTCAAGCTTCTAATAACTGCACTAGTACTGATATCCAGTCACAGATGGCGTGCGGCATATTGCTGAGGATAAGGTAGACAGATATACTGTTCAGCACCCAAATTTATTATCACAGACTAATATGACATCTCTGATGCCAGTCTCATCTTGATCAGAAGCTCCTAGAAGCAGCCGCCAAAGGGGAGACTGCGAAAGTGGAGCATCTACTGGACAACGGCGCGAACGTTTCGGCCGCGGATTCGCAGGGTCACACAGTGCTTCATGTCGCTGCATCTGGCGGACACGCTGATATTATCAGCATTCTCTTGCGGCGAGGGGCCGACAAAAATGCGAGAAACCGTTCTAATCACCGTCCTTCGGAGCTCGCCAGATTGCTTGGTCATATTCCCCTTGCGAACAAGTTGGAGCTGAATTTGCTTTAGAGGAGGGTTTAACAGCTATTTCTATTTTCATAAATCATAAAGGATATTCGCTCTTAGCAATCTTCGATCGTTCCCTGGAGGCACACAAGTCTACTATCGATGCATACAGAACTCTTGATGAATGAAATGCAAGCATCTTCTAAGTTACTGTCTCATCCCACACGAACAAGATATCATAACTCAGCGACAAATGTTGCGATCTCGTATCATATTGCGGTAGAGAACCAAGAGCCCGTGTTTAAGTACGCGCGTCTACCGTGCAAACGCCCCAAAGTTCATTCCCCCATTGATAGTCTGCTGGCCTGCCTGGTTCATGATGGAAGCTCCATCATTGTTGAAGTTGAAGACAGGGCTCTAGAATGCAAATTAGCCGGCGTAGCAGTGAAAATCGAGCAGCAGATTCTTACACTCGACTTCTGCTTCACGGGTACCTCAACCATCATCTTCCTCAGTGCACCAAGCACCAATCCGTATCCTTCATCATCCTCCCTCGATCGGAACTTGCAGATGTTCTTATGATCGGCTTGGATGGATATCATGTCTCCGCGACCGGGGATAGTGGCAGAATTTCGGTCAACCACCTTTGCTCATGTTAGCCTAACTATTGAAACTTCCAAGATCTGCAGTTCCATTACCATTACTCCCTGTGTTTTCAACTGCTCATAGAAGAAAGTGGTCAGGATACTGTCGTCGGAGTTATCGCGTTTTCGCAAAACGTTTGCAAACTCTTCGATCAGGTGCTGCAGTGTGTCCGATTTGCTTTTCAGATCTGAGATATTTGCTTTGCTGCTCTCGAAGATATAATCCGCTACTTTGTTGAGACGAGACACCCAGTTTGCGATTTCGGAACCGCAGAATGGGGTTCCCAGGAAGACTATTCCTCGGACGTGTTTGCTGATAATCTGTGTATTGTCGGAGGGGGAGCTGCGGTTGCCTGCTACGACAGCCTTCGACGGCTTGTTAAATCTCCCCAACATTGGGAATAAATGAAGGGTTGTCAACTTACCTGTGCGCAGACCAAGCCGCCCAAGCTATGAGCTACGAAAATTATCGGGCGCTCTGGCTATTTGGCATCCTTAGCTACGATACTCAGAAGTAGTAGTATTGCCTCTTACCGAAGAGGCTCTGAACCGCGATAGCTGAGCACAAAGATCCTCAGCATTTCCCACAATTCCGTTCTGCGATAGAGCTGATGTGAAGCTGACCACCCGTGAATCATATCCAAAAGTCATGATACGGGTCTTGGGTAAGTCCTGCGGAAGAAGGGCTTGAGGCCAGCACACATCGTCGATCGTCCAGGTTGCGTCGCGACTTCCGCCAAGACCGTGGACGAAGACGATACTGAACGCAAGTCAGCGATGGGAAAGGATATTGGCTTCTAGGGATTAGTCACATACTCTACCTCCGCTTCGTTGGAGTCGTACAACACTTTAATGCCATACTGAGGTTCGCTCTCACTGGCCTTTGCCGAGCTCCGGAAGATAGTCATGATGAGTGTCTGCTTTATGCAGAGAATGGCGGGGTAAGTGCTTGAAGCTCTTCAGTCAGTCACTGAGGATGTAAGTGGTTTGATTCCATGTCTTGAGTGCCGAAGGAAGCCTGGATGGCTTTATATCTGCCTTCATAATACGCAAATAGCCAGGCACTCAATTTGAATCTCGCTATAGGTATTGCCCACCCTCTTTTTTCTCTCTGCCCCGCCCATTCCTTGGGCATCCTGCTGGTCTACCAGGCGAAAAAAGACAGGTCCAAGCCATCATGCATAAAAGCCCGGCGGATGTCGATCATTCGCAAGTCGAGATGCTGTTGGCTACTGATGCGGCCATGTCACCCTAAATGAACCCGAGGTCTCCGAGATAGCACCACGGAGGAGTACCATGGTATTAAAGCCCTGTTCCTCCAAGGCTGGGATTTTTAAGGTGGGCGTGAATCAATTGTATGTGGTCAAGAATCTCTTTTGGGTGATTAATATAAGGCTCCAATATATGTGGAACCTTCTATGATGTTGTCTCCATTGGCCAGTTAGGCACATGCAACTTCCCCTCATTCTTGCATGAGGCCATTTCGTTTTTCGTACCTCGCCACAGAGAATTTCACCCTGGGTAAAAAACCCAGAAGATGCAATAACCCATCGCTATAGTATAGCATTTTGCGCTCTCGGCAAAGGTTGTATTGGTCGAGGATGACAGAATAACTCTCACATCTATAGAATAAAGCGGACATTCCGAGCTGAGTAACTAAACTATTACGTGCCACAACTACGCTCTTTGTTCCAATAGCACCCCATTTTAATAGTGCAGTAATATTGTTCGTCACAATTAAACATTAATCATAATATGTACCAACAGTCCATCCCGGATATACTACGCCGAGTCTACTATATCATCAAGTCATATCGAGCCCCTCTTCAACGGAGTAACCTCATCCACAGAACCCAGTCCAGCCATGCGCACGCCATCCTTCCCTTGGATTTCCCCGAACATGACCTTCAGGTTCCTCAACTCATCTGGAACATTCTCTCGACCTCCCAAGCAGCCCTTAGCCGCCAGATCGTCTAGCCGTGCACTGGCTCGAGTAGTACATAATGTTTGGAACATGCCGGTCATGCTAGCAGAAATACCGTTGCTGATCAGCGCGTGTCCGCCAAAGAGAATGAACGCCAACGCCGATCCAAGGCACACAAAGTACGTGGCGATCAGGCGTGCCGGTCGGCTAAAGGAGTATACGTTCACCGTTAGATTGTTCGTAACGGTAACTTGGGTGGTTGTTTGGTTCATGGTCAGGAGAGAGATTGTAATGTTTTTCAACAGATCTTGCATTGAAGCGCCTGTAATGTTGAAGGTTGGTGTGTTTGATGGGCCTGTGTATAGGTCTGTCAGGGAGATAATAGTGTTGGCTGATGGCTGACCGTGGATGACTACAATTGGTGAGCCTCTATTGCTGTTAATCTATTACTTGCATGAAGGAGTACTCACCGAGCATGTCAATGTATCCTGAAAGTGCCAGTACCAGTGAATCCTGGATAGCGGCCAGATTCGCCCGACGAAAGATGTCGATAACGTTACCTCCGGTGTCTCCCGTCGTGGTCGCATTGATTTGCGAGTCCAGAGTCCCAGTCCGAGGAGATACGCCACCATCGTCGTACATATACGAGCTGTTTAGCTGGCGAATTGGATTGACCTCCGCCGACACGTATTGTTGGCTCCCTGTGTAAGTGATGTGCAGATTGTAGGTCGCCTCGAATGCTCGGCAGGTGAGGTTGTCGTATTCATTGTCCCTCTTCCAGCGCAGGCCGAAGTCAAAGAAACTTTCTGAGCGGTTTGTGCGAGCAGCGCTGTCTTGCGATGCGATGTAAAGATACCCCCTCGTGTTCGTCTGAGGGTAGGTCTGGTTGACCCAGTCGTAGAGATCAGGAGAGGAGTAGTTGCGGCACTCGAAGCTGGGGCCCGGTATGCTAATACTGTAGGAGCAATCGGTAGCACACGGAGACGAAGCTGGAAGGTAATGCCCCGCCATCATGGCCTGTCTTGCGACGCGGGTAAGCTTATAACTAGGTCCACTAATAAAGTCGTTAGGGCCTCTGTCCACAGTGCAATCAATAATCACGTTCAGTCTAACCTATAGACATCGTAAGAATTGGGCTGCCACAGTGCTTCGGTCATCATGCCAGCAAAAGTGCCATTTCCAATGAAGGCTGGGTCAAATGTCGGAACCGATTGGTTGGCCAAGGTATGGAACGACTTGGACTCGACGGTCAGGGCACCCGCTGGGAAGATCATGGCGATGGGGATACACCAACATATTAAGGCGCAAATAAACGGGATGGGAGCCACCGTTAGGAGCTGCACATTTCCGAGGTAGAGGGGGTTCGTCAGCACTGAGAGGAAGGCGTCAATGTCGCCGATGCGCATCGGGCGCGCGCGCAGGTCCTTCCACAGCATCTGAATGAAAGACATTCCCAACGCGGCGGCCAGAAAGGTACGGAACCCATTCACGAATACAACAGATAGCGCTGTCACGTATGGCTGCTTGATGGTCTTTTCGACTTCACGCTGGTCCAGCCAATGAAAGAGACCGAGATGCATAGAGGCCACAGAGGCCGCTGAAACGCACAGTTAATAAAGCTTCCATTTTTGGTAAAGAATAGGCGCCGACATAACAAGGCACCTCGTCCTCTATATAAGGAAAGCCTACCTAAGAGAAAGCAAGTAATGATGGAGCTTGGAGTCATCCACCCAATGGTCCAGTGGGACGTGCTGGATGTGCCTTTTTCGAGCGTGGATGCGACCGACGAAGGGGTTGCTGGAGGTTCATCGGAAAATCCTTTTTCATTTTGGGGTACAGTAGCCTCTGCGTGTGCATTTCCAGTTGAGTTTGTATTGCTCTCCGATACTACCTCTACTTCTGGTTCTCCTTGATCCGCCAGCGTGTAGTGATGCTTAGACGCCATGAGGAAGGCTGCAGTCTGCCAAGCGGACGGCGAAGAAAAGTGGACGAAGGAATTGCAAGACGGCCTCGAGACATTTAAGGCCCGGCTCATCTCCGAACAAAGGACGAAAGTAGGCCAATGCGGCGCAGCAACCCCGCCTCCAGGGATGAATTGCGAATTTGGCCGCAGGGCCTAGATAGGCTGAGCTTCGGAACGGGCCACCCTCCAATGCGTTAATCGATTCCGGTGCAACGGAGACTTGGAACATGCATCCGGGCAGCAGCATCACATGGAGGGGAAATTCAGCTAGAGCAGCCAGGTTGAGAACACAGCGAGCGTGTCAGCGCTAGTCAGCAACGGCGCAGGATTAGCTCCAACCGGGCCCTGATCGTGAGGTTATCCCTGCATTCACCCGCTTTCAGACGGTCAGCTATTGGCTGGAAAAGTCATTGCAATCAACGAGATACCTTTAATAACCATCCGCAGGTGCGCCAGGCAGGGTTCATCGCAGGCCACGTACACGCGACCGAACAGTCGGGTGGAAGCACTGCCTCGCTCTGCCTCTCTGCCCGCAGCAAATAATCCATTATCCTCTGGGAATGCACATCACAATACATTAAATCACACTACGAAAATGGCTCGGATTGATTAAACAGCGTCTACCCAGGACTGATCGTCCCAGGCTGGCATGCATTTGATCTGCTTTGGTGGCTCTTTCTGCCAATGGACGAGCTCATCATGAGGGGAATATCGCCCTTCCAATATCGTATGAACGTAACCCTTCTCCTCCTTAGCCCTCAATGACCAGCGATACTCATATGCAACATTCACAGTGGGAATAGCAAGCACTTTCCCAAGACCCAGGCGCCAGAGATCTTGTGCCAGCAGTGTAGGCTCCCCCATATAGCACTCATCCTCCTCTGAATACCGGAATTCCACGTGCCCGTCAATGAATGGGCCACTGTCTAAGGTAACCATTCCACCCCAGCAGCTATAGACCTGCACGGGAAGATGCTTAAAAAAGCGTTCACGAGTGGGACCATGATGGGAGAAAAGGTTATGAGAATCCCATATCCGCCCATCAGATGAAATGTCAAAGAAGAGATCTCCAGAGAGGTCTCGGGATACCCAAACATCATGAATGACTCCCTCATCTCTCCAGTCAAATGCGCATGTCATTGTCGCATCTTGCACCTTTTGCTGGTACACTAACTCTAGTATGTCCTCCGCGCAGATGCCGATGTCGTTGATGAATATGATCATGGGATCGTGGCCAAAGGGACTGCCCTTCTGTCTGGCTCCTGTGATCAGGGGTTCAAGGGCCATATTTCGAAGTTCAGACAGATCCTTGATGCGATTTTCCCCGGGCCCGAGTGGATTTATCGGGCTTCGGGAGAAGTAGTATCGCACCCCCATAGCATCCAGCTCCGGCTTCAAACGAGACAGGATCTCATATGTTCCATCTGTTGACCGACCCTCCACTATCGACAAAGCGCAATGTTCCGGCCCCAGGTATCGAATAGCCTCCAGGATGCTTCCCATCAGAGGGAGGATAATATGAATCACTTGGTAGAGATTGAGGGCAAAGAAGTATTGAATTTTGGGGTGCTTTCCGTCGACTGGAATCAGTGTATGGTAACGCTGGCTGATTGTCGCGGGACACTCAAGGTGAGCTGTCGCAGTCATGTTATGGTTGATAATTCCGCACACGAATTGATGGATCTCGACCGGGGTGTAGTCGCTTTCAGCCTTCATGCGCGAGTGGAGGTCTTCGGATACTGATGCAAGGTCGAACCCAGTGCACGAGCTATGGGCACGAGTCTCTAACCACCGTGGTTTCTCATCGCTGAGAAGAAGGAAGAGAATAGCTGAGGCCCCAAGGATTAGCAAAAGCCTTCGCCATGGTCTCGAGCGTCCGAATGTCATCCTGGCTCAGGCATCAGAAGAATTGAGGATTCGCGCAGACAAGATGAAACAAACGGGTTGTCAGGATTGATTTGGGAGTATCGGTCTTTTAAAAAGAAAGCAAAGCCTTGACGCCCACGCTAACATTATAGCATCATTAGCATGGGTGCTGGATCTACATTGTGAACTTCCCTGACGGGTCCTGAATCCTTCTCCGCAAATGTTGACTGTCGGCGGCGGTTGTAAGCAATGATACCAACTTGATACCTACTGGTCAGAACTTGTCAGATCGAGAATCGCACCACTCAGGGCTGTGTTGTCTCGGCAGTGCATTCTTGTGACGACGATGCCAACTGCAAGAAAATCATTGTTTTGTTAGCTTTTTATTGAAGTGAGATTTCTCTCTCAATCTAGCTACTTGTATCTGACGTGGCTTGCGCCAACAGGCTCAAACTTTCTGCCCTACCAGATGGCGAACAAAGTTAAAATAAATTTAGATGGATGGTTAGTAGTTGAGATGATTGAGGCTTCTGCCTGTAACATCGGGTAACAATACAATACAGATATGGCCCCAACAGACCAAATCCGACTACGAACCCTTTAGTATAATTAGTATAATTAGTATCAAAGTAGTGCGCAATGGCGGCTGCACAGTGGAGATGCGTGTCGCCGCAAAGCTTCTCTCATTCGAGGAGCATCCACACTACCACCTCCAGCCTAGCCGGGGTCCGCGTCACTAACTTCATGAACGGCGCGTATCGCCAAGCGAAAAGTCAGCTGGAGTGGAGATTCAGGGGCTCGTGCTTGCTTTCAGTTCTTCCGACTCTCCGAGGGTCCCGTCCAGAACTAAGCGGAAGGGACAAGGACAAGGCCTTTCCAACATTCAGCCTTGCGCCGCGGAGGTCGATCGGAAATTTGCCAAGTAAGAGGCACAACTCAACGCTTTAAAGCTGACGTAGAAGCACCTACCCTATATGTATTAGCCTCTTGGTCTTGAGTGCTTATGGTGTCAATGCTCTTACATTAATTACTGGGGCTAATTAATCTTCGCTATGAGCTGTTTGGACTGACTTGATCATTGTCTGTTTCATCTCATTCTCGGCTCCTACGGAAACGAGCTTCCTGACTTGGAGTCTCTCTTAGTCTTGAGAGCTGGTCTAAACTAAGCAAGTCTAGCCCAACAAATTGGCGAATGGCCTTCCGTTGACCCACTCAATTTCGAAAGATATGAGAAAGAAAGGAGGGGAAAAGAAGACTAAAAGATAGAAATAAAATAACGATTCTCGGCCGATCACACCCTTCCACCTCTATGATGAGCTTGTGTCCGCTCTACAATATGGAGGGCTCTCTAGCTCCCAAATAAAGGAGAATTTCAAGTCACTGTCACAGAGTAGAGCCTTCATTATCCAGACAGTTTTCCTTCAGTACCGAGACCGGCTCATTGCAGTCTCATGTTGGTAGTATGCTGTCTTAGTGAGCGGAAGGAACATTGTGGGCTTCCACGCAGGCTCTGATAAGAACCACCAAATCTAGCTTCTAAGGCCAACCCACTCTTGTGAGATAAGTCAATCTTACTGCCGCATATACGCAGGTCAGCCGTTCACCTCTATCTCCTAGTTTTGATGCTCTATACGAGGGTAGTCGTGTCTGCTCCACAAACTTGGCAACCGTACTGCTTAGGCCCTCCACTTCTGAGGTAGAAGTCACTAAGATACCTTGACCTCAAAGTTCAGTTACTCAGCGATCAGCGATATCTAAGGCAGAGTTTCGTTGTAAAGAATTAAGTTAAAGTTATAAGTTCACCAAACCAGGAACCACACAACGCTATAATCATGGTGACTTGGTCAGGTGATCTACATTTCCTGTTGGGTATATATGCTGATTGGGTCGATCTTGGGTAACTCAAGATTCGCGGGATCATTGAACACAAATCTCTCTGTGTGATGGCTGTGCAAGCCATACCCGGCCTTGCGCGTCTCGGCAATATGCTTACGCTTACAGCCTCAGAGTACTCGCAGCAAGAACCATAAACAAGCATAATCTGGTTGCGGGTCAGATCTGGCACCTTGATCCAATGGTAGCAAGCACGGAAGTTTCCTCTTCTGATACATCCAGTCTAGGCTCGAGAAACCCTGGCCAATACTCCCCTGGAGATGCCCAGGTTAATACCGTAGCCTATATAGCATCCACCAGGCAAAGTTCCATGTATGGGTGGAGCTTACGTGGGTTAAACGCCCGTAAGAAGGCTAGTCTGCTTGGACTTCCACATGTACACAATTGCCTTCGTGTACCGATCTTCTTCACTGACATAGGCCTGAGCTACCCGTATTCGACTACTGGCACGCCTGTCTCCCGGCTCGGCGTAGGCATATAGACCTATTCTAACATGTCATACGTGCAGGTGTACGGGGTTACCGTGAATGGAGCAAGGGGCGCTGCATAACTTTATCTCGATATGGCAGTAAGCTGTCGTTGATCTTTACTTCACACGGCTTCCACCGGCTCCCCAATTGGCAATTGGCCTACGTGTCAGGCGTACTGCGATTATATGCCGAATACCTATATAGCTCCGATGGCCGCACGTATACTTCATCTGTAGAAGTCCTCACTAGACCCAATTCAAGGATAAATCTGCGAAAATGACTACATTTCTCGTGCAAGAAGACACTTACAACGCAAACAACCTCGACTTTAAGATACGGGGAATCCCGGAATCCTTTAGCACTTTCGTCATTGACTTCAAGGCTTTCTTCGGTGTCAGACCCCAGCATGTCAGCCGGAGATTTAGCATCTCCCTCTCAGATCTCAGCTACCAGCCGAAGGTACGTAGTCCCTTTCCGTTTTCATCCCGTCTCTCGGATACCAACACCACCGTACCACCGTATAGATCTATAACCCTCGTGCCGACTGGGCAGTAACTGCTGCCTTCAACTCGTTCCAGGCGCTCCAGGCTTCAACTCACAATCCAGTGCAACGCTTTGCAACTATCGGTACTGGCTCAGGTACCGACGCCATTGCAGCGCTGGATGTCTTCCCTCAACTCCGCAGCATCGTCATGACAGATCTCCATGATGAAGTTGTCGACAAAGCCAAGATCAATCTGATGTCTGCCACTGAAAAGGTCGATGGCCGGGTGAGGGCGGTTGCCAGAGACACTACTGGGCTGTCTGGTCATAGCTTAGTGCCCCTCAAGGATCAGGTGCCTTTTGACCTGATATATGAGTGAGCTTTCCCTCACGAATCTCACGACCCTGAAGTCGAAGAATACTGAACAACATTCTAGAAATCTCCCCAATATTCCCCTACCGGATGACGCTGATCTCCTGGACGGTCAAACCTCCTCGACTTATTTCGATTGCTCAGACGTGTCGGGGGTGGTTCCCCCGTTTGTGTCCACCGCTCTTCTTGACCTCCATTATGTCTGTCTCTTGCAGGCGAAGACCTTCAATCTGCTCACCGAAACTGGCATCGTCCTGTCTAGCATGGGCGGCAGAATCCCAATCGACACCATGCTCCGGCTAGCAGATGCAGCAGGTTTCACTGGAAGGATCCTGTCCATGTCTTGGAAAGTGCAGAGTGAGCCAGACTCGGTGATTGAAGGATACGCTACTCAGCAGGAGAAGGGACTTGGACCGGTAAGTTTACTGCCACTCCGCATCAAGGGCTTCTGAGACCTTAGTAGGCTGAAACGACAAGCTAATCTCGTACGTGCAGTTCTATTTCTACCGCGTGAGTACGCTACGGCGCGTTTTCGGTCACCTAACAGCGGCTGAGGCTGGACTACGTGCACTGGAGATAGAGAATGAGCTTTTGCCTGACCGGCTGGATGCAGTGACTGCTTTGAAAGCTCACAAGCAAGGTATCGATATTGGTCACCCAGTTGTCGTTATGGCTAGCACTAGACATTGAGGTTGTCTTGTGATTGATTATTTGTTATCGGTGTTTACCTTTTTACGATATAACTCGAGCCCGTAAAAAAGAAATTGGAATCCATTTAGGAAAGGATTCTGTACTAAAAGTACTTGTTGCTTTGAAAGACTATGATCGCGGGCTTCCGTCGGTCTTTTAGGTCAATTTAATTTGCATTTCTTCTCAAATTGGCACCTTATCTCGGTGAATTGAATGAACTCTTACTTTGTTCTAAGACCATCCTCTTTGTCTGACTAAATTATGAAGGTGACATACAAGCTCACTTTATCGATCTTGGATTTAGCACTCAGGTGAGAAGGTATTTGGCATTCCCATCGAGACTAATATGGTACAATCCAACAATTCCTTCCCATAACTTTTAGGCCGCAAAGCGACTTCTGCTTCGAATCCTCTTACCGTATCTAAAGAAGATGTACCTAAAATAAAGCTATTAATACAATATACATTATCCCTTCCGCACTTGACTTACGGAAATGGAGCCATAGCAAGACTCAGAAAAGCAAGCAAGGATGTAGCCCACTGATCACCCAACTTGTGGTACACTAGTAGTGTGATGTAATTGTCAGCGACTGCCAGAAAACCTATCCAATACAGTCAAACGACTTACTCGCCACGCCAAAGAGAGGGAAAGCAGCCGCAAAGGTACTCCTAGTAAAACTGTTGGCACCAAGCGCACTGGCTGCGTACAGTGGATAAGCGTCCACGAAAAACGTAAAGACCCCTTGAAATACGAAGATCATTCTATTTACGGTGTCAGTGAGAGCGCCATCAGGCATCCAGTCTCCGAGACAGTGTGAACTTACCCAGCTCCAAATACGGCGCTTCCAATGATAGGCACAATCCAATGGACCGAAGGAAAGCTGTTGTCTTTCAGTCATTTGCCACGTGTAAGGGGTGAGATAATGTACTCACGCTGTCCATCCAAACCAAAATAATCCAATCGTCATGAGCGGAGCTCCGATGACAGCGGGGGGTAGACGACTTTCCGGCTCATTGTTCCCAGTGTCTCCTTCCTCCTTATGGCCTCGGGAGAAATAGGGATAGATTTTGCAGCACCTGCTCAGCTCTTAGTACCAGATTTCCCATCATGATGCAAGACAATGTGCGCGTTCACATCGAGTTGCTCATCACCTACCATGGATCAATCACGACCGCCAGGATCATCCCCACCAAGAGGCCAGTGAATGCTAGTCCCGACTGCCATAGTCCGAAGTTATACGCGTTGCCATACACTACCCCAAACGCTCCGAAAAAGAGATACTGAACGCCTAAGGCGATGGACGAGAGTAGGCAAAGATTGAGACACATCGGCTCCAGGAGAAGTAGCATGAATGGTCGATACAGTGAGTGAAGAACAGTCTGGGTCGAATTAGTGGTTAGCCACCTATCAACGAAGAAATGTGGTATCATGTCTACCTTCAAAACAGATCGATCCATCTTTTCGATCGCAGCCCTCCATCGATCGTCCCCAGTTTCCTGCCGCAATTTGCGAGCCCTGTTTCGGAGCAGCACTGGCGCGTATGTCTCGGGGACGAAGATAATAACAAGGATAGACTGGATACTTGACCAGATGAGCAAGACGTAAAATGACCACCTCCTGTACGCTCGTTAGACTCAATTTGCTGGGATTTTCCAGGCCCCGGGGGAATTTCTCGCTTACCATAAGGCCCACGAATTTATCAGCCCGCCCAAGATAGGCCCTATGCTGGCCCCGGTACTGCACAGCCATTAGTCGCTAAACGATACCACAAACAACAGATTTCGTACAATGGTGAAGCTGTGTATATCAGCATGGGAGTATGCAGTGTGCTTTTGGTGTACATGTCGCCCACGGTAGCCCCCGCGACCGAGGTAAATGCCGCCCCTGCGAGTCCGTCTAGGAACCTCGCAACTAGCATTGTTTGGATATTGTGGGCAGCAGCACAGGGTATAAGGAAGACGATGTATAGAGGAAGCGAAACGAGGTATATGGGTCTTCTGCCGTAGAACTCCGACAAAGGGCTCATCACTAGAGGTCCCCATCCCAGTCCAGCAATGTAGAAACTGAGTCCGAGAGTTGCGACAGTCCGAGAGCAATTGAATTCGGCCATGATCTGATTGTACGTCGCTGTGTAAAGCGAGCTAGTGACGCATACGCACACCGTCATGGTACTTACTAGGCTCACGATGATCCATTTACGCTTCGATGTCATAGCGTGTGGGTTTGCCGGATCGTCCTCCTCCCAGTGAACCTCGTAATCGTCCTGGTGGTCATGTTCTTCACTTTCAGTAGTGATAATCGCCTCCTGGTCACCGAGCTCAGCGTGAGCCATTGTGCGAGGCATCGCCTTCCGGGCCGGAGGGGATGATGATCCTTCGTGGTGGGGCGCGCATGGTGCTGAGAAGAAGTGCAAGTTCGTTCTCGGTCAACTAATCTTCTCTTCATGCAGGTAAGCATCAGGCAAACCGGGTTGTTGGGGTGTTGGGCGCCACTGGTGCTCGGAACCGGATTTTAACATTTCATAGGGTTCCGGGTAGTACGCCGGACTCTGTATTTGGAAATAAGCCGAGATAGCAAGGTCTGATAGTGCAACGCAGCAAAGGCCTCACAGAGACATACGGTTGGAAGGTGGTACAGAGCCTGGGCAGTGGGTTGACAACAGCAAATTCGCCGACAAGGAGGTCAAAATGTGAGGCAAACATCGACTTCTATCCATTAGGGTTAACGCAGCATTCACTGCTATCTGCGCCCGAAAGAAGTACTCAGGAAAAGTAGTGGCACTGAGAATTATCAAAATAGCGATTGCAGGTGAATTTTTGTTCCTGTGGTCGGATGTTGCCAAATTCTCAATCAAAAGCCATGACATGCCATTTCACCTTGGAGTATCTCCGAGATCATCAATATTGAGGAATTTTGTAGCCTATATTAGTCTCTATATACATTGAGGAACCGCCATTGGTGACACTAGTATCCCGGTCCACGTGGATGGAACCAGGTGTATATAAGGCCACGTCACACATCCTTTTCATGATCAGATCTCTTCCCCAGCTGCTCTTCTGATCGCCGTTGTTACTTCAGTCGGCTTCGAGAGGAAAGGACTATGGGAGGCGTCGAGGAACTCTGTGCGGATGGGATAACCTGCCGCCCAATCCTCCACCATCATTTTTTGGATCCCTAAGTGGATAGCATTATCCTGGGCACAGTAGAGGTAGGTACTGGGAACTTCTTTCCAGGCAGCATATGTGCATGGGCTGAGGAAGGCCTGATAACTGTGCGGACGTAAAGATTTGACTGCCGCCTGAGCATCTTCTTCTGATAGGTCATTGTAGAAAACCTCGTCTGGTCTGTCTGGGTTAATTTCCAGGCGATCCGCAGAGACATTGAACCATGGCAAGTCATTTCCCCCGAAGGCGCCGATGAGAGATTTCCCTTCAGGAATGATAAACGAGCAGCAGAAGAAGATATGAGCGACTCCGCCTTCTTGGCCATTACTCTGCCGGCTGTCGCAGTCAAGCCCTTTGACGGCTTCGCTTGAAGGCACTCCTCCGTAAGAGTGTACCACGAGCACGACATTCTTGCCGGCATCGACTAGACGCTCTATATGGCTTTTTATTTGGGCCACATCGGCAGAGAAGTCTGGCAGGTGCTGAGTTGGTCCCACAGAAGGAAGATGAACGAGGTCCGTCTCGTACCCCGCAGCTTCGAGTCGGTCGATCACTCTGCGATAACATTCCGGGCTGTGCCATGCGCCCGGCACGAAGACGATAGTGGGAAAGGGAGCCATTTTATTATCCTAGCAGAAAGAGTCTGACGCCAGAAGTGGATGAATATTTGGTGCTTTGGCAGGAATATAAATGATCACGGGGAAGGCTATGGTGGCGGGTGACCGCATGCGGGAAAGTCATGAACTCATCACGGCAAATGGCGGTTTCGTATCAACCCGGAGAGTGACTCGACTAACGTGTCGATCGGTGTCAGTGCACGCGAGTCCATTGCCGGTAAAACATCGGAGAGTGTGAAGTGGCCTATCTAAATGCAGAAAGTCTGCAGATGCGGGGAAGGAAAAATCTTCCATATGCGCGTGCTTCGGCTTCATTCTGAGTATGCCAGACCCTTCAATGCGATCCCTCAAAAGCAGTATTGGTTCTATATGGCCCACTAATCTTACCATGACACTTAAGTAAGTAGGTAGGAAAGCAACTTTTAGAGCTGTCAAACCAATCGGTCGTAGTGTAGATATATCAAGGGGACGGCAGGCAGATGAGGCCAGACCCACGGAGCCCTCATTCTCGGAGCGGGGCAATGCGAAGGTGGGGGGAGAAAGCATCCCGTCTCGAAGATAGTGTTCAATTCGCTAAGTAGCTAGCTTCAGTGTGCCTTTTCGAGTAATAAAGTTCTGCGAATGTACACTATTTTGGTGTAGGGAGTGGCATCGACTCCAATTTCTAGGCCACCACGGGACTATGTCACGAGCTGACCCCAAAAGTAACCGTAGTGGTACTGGAGTCCAAAGTCAGTTTATCAGTATATTGTCAAAACAAATTGCAATCCGATCATAAAGCGCACTTCCACTGAATGGTTAATGGTCCAAGCGCAAGAGCCGTCCATATGTACCAGGCCAGCCGTGGCATTTGCAGTCTACCTCATACACCAAGTTAGCAGCTCAGGCAGCTAGTACGTACCTTGTCTGTCCATATGTCCTCGTAGAAGACTAACTAGGGTGTATGCTGTCCCTGCATGAATCTACGCCAGGTTGTCCGATCAAGCATAGTCATGATCGGAAGTGGCGATCGAACCTGAGCCAAGCCAGATTCCACAGATCGAGATGAGCATAGGGAAGAAGGTAGAAGGCAGGGGGTCCAAGAATCCCCATCCGTCAGATAGTAGTTAATTTTCTACTAGCTTTATTCATTGTGCAGGTCATTCCCCCTCCGTGTACTCTAAGTTCTAATACCATCCCTCTCCCATCGAATAATAATATAATAATCACTCCAATCAAATGACTTGGGCTCACATGACTGGACTGTCCAGATGCGGTTAGCTCCAACATACATGTCAACCCGTTTATTGCCTCAGGCAGCTAGGTGTCCAACTCAAGGTGAAACACGGTTGCCTAATCGGGAAATAGTCAGGGGGCAAAGCCCCAAAAATGGAACAAAAATGATTCCAGACACCCTAATGGAGGATTGAGACTACCAGCCTCAGCCTCGAACAACTGATTCAGAGCAAGAGATTGTGCCCTGTTGATCGCTACCAGGTTCACTACCTAACTCTGCTACAACTCGAAACCGCAAAGACACTTCAAAGGGTTTTAGGGAATGGGTCAGTGGGGAATGGAGAGGCCGCCGGTGGACAGTTGGAAAGGGGATGAAACTATTCCCGGCAACAATCTCAAACCGCCCAGGGGCGCCAGGCCGTGAATTGGACCAAACAGCATTCCGCATTCACTTCCCCCTGCTGGTCCGTGCTGAAGCCACTAGTCCTGGCAATGTCTTATCCCCTTTTGAGGGCGCCAGAGAGCAGGTTCGATTCAGAACGCGACCCTCGCGTCCCCTTTTTTATCTGCCCCTTCCCCGTCTCTTCCCTACGGCTTTGCCCGTTCCCCGGAACTTGCATATCAGGTCCCCCCAATGGAATCATCCCAAGCCTTCTCTCTCTCCCGGCGAGCAGTCGCTATTGCGATGCCTCTGTGGGCTCGCGACGACTCGGATTCCTCGTCTGGCGAGAAGCCCGTCAGTAACTTCCTCAAGAGCGGCGTGCCAGGCATCATCGTTGGCATGTGAGTACTGCGTGGCTTCTTCGCCTGCGACCTTGGACATGCTAACAACGGTCCCTAGATTCTTCCTTATCGCAGTCTCTGTATGCTGCTATTTCCTTTGGCGCAACAAAAAGCGAGATGCCAAAGAAGCCGCGGCGGTACGAGACTGGAATGATGCATGACCTCGGATGATCTGCAGCATCATCGGCAACCATTCTCGAAGTTGTGCTACCAGGGCTGGACCTATTCTTCCTTATTCTCTCTCTCTCTCTCTCTCTCTCTCTCTCTCCCCCTTCCTCTATAGCTCTACTTCTCTCCCATTTTCCTCCTCCCACCCCGACCTCCAGCTCTTTCTCTCTTGCTCCGTTGCTTTCTATCGGCCTTCTTTCGGTTTCTCTTTTCTATCCGGTCTCTGGAGTTTAAGTGGGTTCGGTTCTCTTATACCTCTGTTATCGTCCTCGACAAAGTTTGCATGTCTGTTGCCATAGCATTTTTCAACTGGCTCGCCATACTACGTTTCGCATGGCTCGTCGCCCATAAAATCCACTGAACGCATCAACGAACATGTACTCTCAATCCTACGTCTCTGCCCTTTTGATGTCTTGGAGCCTGGCCTACCCAATTTGCCATGTATTATTATCCAATTGAGGCTGGCACCCCTTGGCCGATACCTGACTTGGGATGGCCTAGCGACAATCACTCCCTCATCGTCTCTTTCATACCCTCTGTAGATCGTCCCGCACTGATTAGTATTATGTTGTACAGTATGCATTGCATGGTTCTAGAAACAACACCGACAAAGTTTTTTCAACGGTTCTCAGAATAGCTTATGCCTTCCCGTTTGAGCTAGCAGAGTTTGTTTGGTTCTTTCGTTTTGGGAAAGTCTGGTATGTGGGGCCACTCAAAAAGGAACCAGGCCCACGTGAGAACCAGATTTGTACAACTCACTGAGATCCTCACATACTAGAGATACTCCCTTACAACCGTCAAACTGCAGATGGCAAGGTCTCAACGTAGTAAATCAGGCCAAAAATGGATGCTCTCTGACGTGTAACTGCTTCACACCGATAAGCAAGTTTAAGCATTTTTTAAGACATCTGCGATGGATAAGAAAAACTCTGCTCTGAAACATAACCCATAGCAGTGGCCACTGAAACATTGTTCCACAACCTCACTATACCAGGAAACATAACACACTTCCCCCATCTACTAACTTTACATTTCCTACTACCCGCTTCTTTTCATCATCCCACCAGAATACGAGGTCCCAGCTTCTAGCCTCAGCCTTGCAGGACCCCTACTTTCGACGTGTCTCCACAAAATCACACATTGACCGCTAATGGAGCATTCATGGAAAGTAATGTAATAGAAAAAGTGCTATCATAGACCAGGGAAGCGTTCAGCTGCCTTAAATTCGAGAAAGCGGCTGAGCCTCAGACGATAGGCTGATCGATGAGGCTTGGTGTGATCCTGACGGATTCTAAACTGTTATGATTCGCTGAGTCCTGGGGGGTTAGGGGCCAAAAGATGCGCCGTGGAGCTCCTTCCGGTGGTCAAATAACCGAGAGCACCAATCATCTGAAAACAGATCGAAGGGTATCGGGTAGACGGGTATAGCCGATAGTAGAGTCATCTAGGACGCATTTTGGGGGGGTTGATATCTTGTAGCGATGGAGATTGGACTTATGAAACTGACCTTGAAATTTACTGTCTATGGTAGGCGAACCGGAGAAAGACCGATGGGAATAAAAACTGCTAATAAGTTATTATTGCCACTCTACTCAGATGGTCTATGTCTATAGCAGATAATTACATCATCAAGCACTCTCACCACTGATCAGCCTAGATCTCTCAACCGCCACAGAGCCTTCCCTCACATCCACCGAACTCGATCTAGATGTATCCCAACTTTTGAAAACGTACACCCCATCCTCATTCTCCGGCTCCACAGCCACCCGTCGGCTCGGATGTCCAGCATACTCCTCGTACATTTCATCAACAGAATGAACATCCTTGCGCGATCCGGGATCCTCAAATCGATCTGCTATAAGACCCGAGATTCCAAGCCGAGCATGAACATCAGGGACTGCTCCCCGGGCGGTGCTGATAGCGATTCCCGCAAAAATCAAGCCCACGATGACATACAAGAAGTTCACGGCAACCAAGGTGAAGAGTGGCGCCATGGGAACCCGCGATACCAGGGAAGTCTCCCTCTGCTGCGCTGCTAGTGCTGGGCGCGATTCAACCCCGTCTGCTCCAAGGGCCAAGATTACCTTGCTGAATGACTGTGCAATCTTGTCTGCGAACTCCTGGCCTGTCTGGCTGAACGCCGCGGCTCCGATCTCCAGCTCGATGGACGGTTCCCAGTCGACTGTCTGCGCGATACTCGTCTGCCAGATGTTGGATACCGAGGTGTTGCTATCGGTGGGCACGAAGCGGGTCACGGAGTTGTTGACTCGGTCGTACACGATGTCGTAGATTGTAGTGTTGCAGCCAAGGACGTAGCCATACACGCCCGACTCATTCTGCACAAAGTCTGTCGAGTTGGGGACGGTCCCCCCAGAGGTACTTAGCACGCCGGCGATCACGTAGTAAAATGGGTTCTCTGTGCCATAGTTGGAAGTCTCATTGTCTTCGATGTCAGTTGTCATACTGGAGTCTGTAAAAAAGCCCGTAATCAATTCGGTGGAGTCGATGAAGCCGGCAAAGGCACTCGAGCAATTGTATCGGAGAGAGGTCGTCACTTCGGTCAGGTTGCATCTTTTGGAGAACATCTCGCACTGTGTCGCAGCACCATATGTTTGAGCTTCGTAATCCCGGTCGGTCACCGAGGCCGTGCCCTCTGGTATTCCTAGGTAGCTGTACATCGTGCCGTTGTTGTCGTAGGTGTACACGGTCGCAAAATCAGAGACGTTGTTCAGCACGCCGAGACTGACGGTTGCATTTGCCAGGAACTGGCCCGTAACAGCCATCGAAACACTGCATAGGCCAGTATCTTCCTGTGCTGCGACTGAATTGTTCCCTTT